TATGGATATGTCTCCAAAACACTACGTCTGTTAAATAAAATACCAAAGTGATGTAGATTGGTCTGTGATGTTTAAAAAGCATATACATGGCTTAAAGAAAACAACAAAACTTTAAATACAAAACCTTACTAAGTCAAATGCAATTTACATAAGAATAGGTTAATTTCGAAATAAATTACAAAAGAAGAAAATGTGTAAAGACAAACTAAAAGTTTTAAAAATGTGCTGCAAATATTAAACTATTATAAAACCAAACTACTCAGATTTTGAATCATCCGGTGAAGGCTCATCCACAGGAATGAGTTTAAAGGAGAAGTCAGTTCATATTCAGAATTGAAGCTCCTGAAAGTACTTTAAATATTAAATTATTACATACTGTTCAATAAATTATACGTTTTTTTAATTAAGAGCAATTTTCATTTGAATGTGCTTTACTTGAGACATCCATGTTTGTCAAAGAACACTATTGCCACCTACAGGTTTGTGACGTCACGGTGCGGTATTGGCTCTTGAGCAAGTCCCAGTGCTGTATCTGTTGTTTGTCACAATGCGCTGTTATCCAAGTCATCTTGAAAACATTCTTCTTCGAAATGTTGGCTACATATTACATGTTTGTTCTCTGGCCAGAAGTGTGATGGCAAACCCCCTTTAAGTTGGCAAACCCGTGGTGGGTCATGAATCTGAAAGGTGAAATAACTCATTTTTTTCCACTTTTACAGGATGCATTACAACATCCAACTGCCATGCATGTTGGCATTGCCAGGTGAACTATAGCTATTGGCCAATTTCATTGGTGAGGTCCTCTCAAAATCTTAAATAATTGTTGTTGATTGCAGGTGTGTCTAGTAGTTCCTATTGATTTTGCTTGTAAAGTGGGGAGAATGGCCTTCGGCTTACCGCATCGTGACGTCACTGCCGCAAGATGTCAGGAGTGAGGTGTTGCTATATTTGGGCAAAAATGGCCGCTCCCGGACTCATTGATTGTGCCAAAAGCTATTGTTTTATTTTTTTTTTTACTGATTAACACTTAATTAATTAAATGACTGCAATCATATTAGTTTTAGGTATAAATAATGATTCATTGATTATTCCTTGCTGACTGGACGTTCCTTTAAATTGAGAGCATATTTAACTGTATCCTTGCCAAATATTTAGAGATTAAGGTAATGATATTGCAAATGGGCTCATCAAACTATTTAAATAACTGAGATATTATGCCACAACTTTCATATTTTAATGAAATTATATGTGACAAAAAATGAAAATAAAACACATTAAGCTGGTTAACCTTAATTAAATATACTGGGAATACTATGTTTAAAGTTGTGGGAACTTGGTTATGATGAAGAACAGAGTAATAGAATATATCAGTTGAACGGTTTTAAAGAGATGCCGGAGCTCGCTCTGCAAAGCAAAAAACAAAAATAGAGCATGAACATGTCACAATGCAGCTTTAAACTGATAACTCAAAGCTTAAACTAATTGGAACACTGATTAACCTTTTAGATGATCGATTTAATGAGTCTACAAGGACGAACCAAGAAGCTTCCTTTGTGATTAATAGTCCTTATTCAACCCTAAATATGGTTTAATTGGCTTTCTTTGCTCGGTACGGTGGCCTATTGTGAAACATCACACAAATGTAAACCAGACAAAAAACATTTAACCTCGAAAAAGGTCCTGATAAGACTTCTTTGTTAGCAGCCAGGAAGCTCAGCGGGGGTTTCACTCTGTATCTCTGTGCTGCACTCAGGAGGGCCCCCATGAAGATTGCGGTTTTTTTTATATGGAAAAAAATGAAAGCAAACATGAAAGGAAAGTTTGACAAAGGATTTCTGTGTGATTTAACACATAATGTAAATGTCAACTGACAATGAAGATGGGAATAAGTACTTTTGAACCACTAAATGTAAGACTTAAAGAAACAGAACAGAACCATTTCTTAGAACTGGACAACAAATGCTTTTATGTTTTTTTCCGCGTAAAATTGTGTTTTTCTAATTGTGTTTTGTGAAACACATTTTATTGTGCAAAAAATATTTTTTGTTGCTTATTGTTTTTTTGTGAGGAAATTCATTTCTTTTCTGTTTCTGCAGTTGTTTTCCAGAGAGCTTTTAATTACACTAAACATCACTAAGAGAGAGAGACAGCCAGAGTGGATCCAGCTGAGGGAGGAAACACACTGCAATAACTTATTAATAATAGTTCATGTAAAAAAAATAGCACTTTCAATGTTGGTCAAATAGTTTAGAAATAAAGCTTTTTGTGAAACATGAGGGTTAATGGAAAATTAATTGTGGAAGACTTCACTTGCAGCTTCACTTGAACCACCTGCAATGTCCCAAACCCAGCTTTCGTCAATTATCTCGGGGCCACACCTCCGCCGAAGCTAATCCTCTTCCAAGATCCCCTTCATTTATCTCCTGACCCAGCTTCTCTCTCCTGAATCCAAAAGAACTTTCACCCACCTCTGTCCCATCTCCTCCCTCACTCTCAGATTATTCTAAGTCCCACTCACCCTCTGGCTTATTCCACCACCGGTGTCCGGATCCTGAGGGGGACCACACACTGAGCCTGGTTCTGCTGGAGGTTTCTTCCTGTTAAAAGGGAGTTTTTCCTTTCTACTGTCGCTACAAGCATGCCATGTGTGAGGGATTGTCTTTGAGTCAATGAGTCGATGCAATCAACTGGTTTCCTTTAGATACAAAACTTTGAACAAGTCTGACTGTATGATCTGGTTGAATTGTCTTTTCAAAGTGCCTTGAGGCATGTGTTGTGAATTGGCGCTATATAAATAAACTGAATAGAGTTGAGGACTACTCTAATTATTTTCCCTGGTTTCTCATTCAAGCTTACGTTGATTCACAGCATCAAAGTGTTCTGCCAGAGCCTGTGCGCCAAAGAACTTATTTAATTTCTGTCAATATCTGCATATCTGCTTCTTTCTCCTTGAAACCCAGTCGGACTCGACAAATGGTGAGCCTTGTTCAGCTGGAAGTCAAGTATGGTTAATTGGATGCAATCCTGTTTAAATAGGGCCTTTGCATTGGGATGAAGAGTGCAAAATTTGTAACTATATCAAGACAAAGCAAGCACTCTTTGTTGTAAATAATATAATTGAAAATGCCAATAAGTGTTCTCTAACAGAGGGATACAGTAATCACCAGAAGTATTCAGAAGCAGGTCAGACTTGTGTATGCTTTAGAGCCAAAGCAAGATAATGTGGGTTGATTTTTATTTGGCAATATATGTTAGGAGATTTAATTTTGATTAATTCAAGATTTTCTCATACAGTAATTTTAAAAATTTAGTGAGTTAAAAATATTTCCAGACACAACCTTCAGTGTTATCTCTAGCACAGGAAGAGCCAGGAACAACTCTCCATTGCTGAGACACTGAAAATCGTATTTGCAGACATTAGTTTTCATTAGGTTTAAGCCCTGAGGACATTTCGCTTAGCGATGCATAAACAAGGAAGGCTGTTGGCAGCACACATAGATGTGCACAATTTTGTGTTGTGTGGTTGTTAAAGTGGGGAAGTATGCCTACATAAAAACACATTGGGGTCACCAAGCAGCTTTGATTATTTAACAAAAAGATGAAGCTCTGAGTTAAAACGGAGGGAGGAGGAGGGATATTTCAGGTCAGCTTTTCAGCCATTTAAAGAAATTATATTTTGTTTATATTCTATTCAAACTCTAAACTTTATCCAGCAGACATATTTTATGCACCATTTCAAGTCTTCTTCTTCTTGTTGGATTTATTGGTTGGCAACAAACATTTAGTAGCATTATCGCCACTTATTGTTATGGAGTGTGGCTCGTGATGGACTATCTACTTAATAAACATATATAATTTCTTAGGAAAGAAAAGAAACTACATATTTATACATAACTTTGTATTCTACCTGTCTATATCATACACACATTCACCTTCTCTATAATCAAATTCTATGTAATCATTTAGTTTTCATTAAAAATCTAAAATATCTAATAAATTCATATTTTCCTTAATACAGTAAAACTCGTTCCTCTTATATCTTCTCTCGCTTTCATATTTATGACATTCCAGTATAACATATTCTATTGTTTCATATTTTCCACAGTAATCGCATTTGCCAGTAGTATGCTTTTGAATTTTAAAATGTGTATAATTAAGTCCTGTTTGAAAAAATCTTAACCTTGTTATCACTCTCTCCTCCTTTCTATTTCATCTTCCGTTTCTTCTTTTTCCTACTATCTTCTAAATTTTATAAAACCACCTTCTTGTTTTTTCTTCATCCCACCTTTTTTTGTTGCCATTTTTCCATGGTTTTTTCTTTAATAATACTGTTTCCCTCTGATTTACTTGTTTTAACTGTAAAACTAATAAGATTTTTAATTGCTCTCTTTGCCATTTTATCTACCCTCTTGTTTCCTTTTACTCCATGTGCTGGAACCCACACAAATACAAATATCGAAGCCATAAATTTTATTCTGAATAATGTATGGAATATTTTTTAATAAATTGTCCATCCTACTATCTGATTGGTTATATTTTAAACTTAATAATGCAGAGCTTGAATCTGAATAAATTACTGTTTTTAATGTTTTTATGTCTTCTACCCATTGTAAAGCTACTAGTATTGCCAACATTTCCCCAGTGTATACTGATAATCCATCTTAAAATCGTTTTCCTATTTTTATATTGAATTCTGGTATTACATAAGCTATTCCTATTTTCCTTGTTGTTTTTGATGCATCTGTATAAATGTGAATATGTTGATAATAACTGTCTAAATGTAACTGTGATAAATTAATTTATCGTGTACGATTTATCTTGTTTCTCTTCCATTAGTGACATATTTACTATTGCTTCTGGAAGAATCCATGGTGGTATAACTGATATTTGTCATTTTAAATTCTTTTATTAAGTAATTTCAAGTCTACAAGTACGGCTCCTTTAAGAACTTTGCTTTAACGTTTACAGTGGTTGCCAAGGGCAACAAGAGGCTCCAGACCACAACATTTAAAGTGGGCCGCGGTTTACCTTTAGCCTCTTACATTTTCAGGAATGGCGAAGGCAGTTGCTAAAAACCGCCCTGCTAAGAAACGCTGTAATAAATGGGAGACAGCACTTGTCGAAGCGCAGTTTAATGAGGTAATTTGGTGTTATTTGTTCTTGTTTGAAATGTAATATATGAGTTTGTTATTTATCATTAGCTTGGTATAATGTGTGGGTGAATATATAATTATTAACGAACTAAAAGCAAGTCTTTCTGTTCGGCTAACCGCTGTGTTTTCATCGGCGTTAATCTGAACGAAGTAGTAAAATGGACATATTAAAGTTATGCAAAATGCTTAACTAAAAGGCACAAAAGAGGATTAGGGCCACTGAAAAAATAAAAAATAGTTAACTGATTTTTACATTATGTTTTAAGTATCCTATAATAGGAGAGAACAGTCAGAATTGTGACTTTTCTCACGATTCCTACTCTAATCTCAGAATTCTGACTTTTTTTCCTCACAATTCCAATTTTACTCTCAGAATTCTGACTTTATTCTCAGAATTCGGACTTTTTTTTTAACTCAGAATTCTGACTTTATTCTCAGAATTCAGACTTTTTTTACTCAGAATTCTGACCTTTTTTTCCTCAAAATTCTGACTTTTTTTTAGCCAGAATTCTGACTTTACGCTCAGAATTCTGACTTTTTTCTCACAATTCCAACTTAAATCTCAGAATTCTGACTTTATTCTAAGATTTCTGACTTTATTCTCAGAATTCTGACTTTTTCTGACTTTTTTCTCACAATTTTGACTTTATTCTCACAATTTTGACTTTGTTCTCACAGTTTTGATTTTATTCTCAAAATTCTGACTTTAATCTCAGAATTCTTATTTTTTTCTCAGAATTCTGACTGAATTCTGACAGACTTCAAGCTGTTGCCATGTCTGTTTTAAAGACTAAACTAGCTCTCTTGTTTTAATCACCTTCTGCCCTTTCATTATTTACCGTAAATAGCATCTTTGGGTTAAATATCATCACGTAAAAAGTTGCCTAATTCTGTAATTTTCCACCAATGTGTTACTGGCCCTCCCAAACACCTCATATCTTTGTCAGTGAAGCTGAGTGCTCCCACATCTCTTCCTTCATGATGCCCATCTACATTAAGATCCAAAATTCTGAGATTAAAGCCAGAATTCTGAGGGGAAAAAAAGTCAAAATTCTGAGATTAAAGCCAGAATTCTGAGGGAAAAAAAAAGTCAAAATTCTGAGATTAAAGCCACAATGCTGAGATTAAAGGAATAGTACACCCAAAACATGATTAGCCTTCATTTTCTACTCACCCCCATGCTGAACAACAAGCACATGCGCGCTCACGACGCTACGGAAGCCGGCAGACCAAACCAGATGAAAGTGCGCATTCAGCGTCTGCTCTGCCAATAATGCAAGCGTAGAAGAAGAAATGTGCTGTTTACCTGTGCAAAGAAAGAAACAACGAAAGAAAAATGTCTGAGGACTTCAGTGTTGAGGAAGAGCATGAGTTCTTTGCCGAGCTGAATGCGCTGGTTTGGTCTGCCGGCTTCCGTAGCGTCATGAGCGCGCTTTCAGGAAATCCTATACACTACTGTTTATGCTCTAAAAACATTCTAAATGACTTTGTTTCGAGTAAATTCTGGATGCTACCCACTCAGGACACTTGGATTACATTGGACGAGCAGTATAGAGGAATATTGACACGTTTTTTTGTGGACTTTTATGGACCTTTCTGTCTCGGTCACCATAGACCTCCATTATTTGAATGTCAGCAGACAGCAAGAAGCCTCCCAGATCTCCAGATGCATTTGAAATATCAAAAAAGTACTCCAGAGTGTTGTTTAGCATGGGGGTGAGTAGAAAATGAAGGCTAATCATGTTTTGGGTGTACTATTCCTTTAAAGTCAGAATTCTGAGGGGAAAAAAAGTCAAAATTGTGAGATTAAAGTCAGAATGCTGAGATTCATTTTTCTCAGAATTAAAAAAAATATTATACTGAGATCAAATGTAAAAATCAGTTAACTTTTTTTTTTCCAGTGGCCCTAATCCTCTTCTGTAAAAAGGCATTATACATTGAACTATAATTCTAACGGTTTATTACCAATCACTCTAATGAGTTTGGTCAGCTACTGAAAACAAAACAAACAAAAAAAGATGAAATTTTCCCCCAGAAATATTAAATAATGCAGTAAATCTAAAACAACTATCCGAAAGGTATGGAGGACCAATCCTGCCATAAATAGAAAAAAAATAAATAAATAACTAAATGCTCCAAAAATAACTAAGCATACAATTAATTCCCCACTAAAAACACAATAATCAAATAAATGTAGATAGAAATTAAATTATACAGTGAGACATAAATGTAAATATCTCTTTTAATTAGCTTCTTTGTTTTTCGTCTTTGTAATAATTACCTTATTTAATTTCCTTTATAATCTTAAACTTTATTTATTTATTACTTAATAATTGTATGCTTATTTATTTCTGGAGCATTTATTTATTTATGTATTCATTTTTAATTATGGCAGGATTGGTCCTCCAGAAAAGGGAGGATAAGCCACAAAAGGTAATTGCTTAAGATAGTTACAAAGTTCTGTATTGAATAATGTAAATGGAAAGTTAAGTTGAAGGAAAAAGTATAGATGAAAAAGATGCAAGAGCTACAAGAATAATTGTGAGTTAATGAATATTAATTGTTTGAGATTGTTTTGAAAACAACATCCATTTTTAAGGTTGTATGAGGTCCTGATGTGAGGTTTTCCAAACCATTGAGTCAGTGCAGCCATCTACCAGGAGAAGTTTAGAGCGCTTAATGCACACAGTACATCTGCTGGCAAGCTTTATAGAATTGCTGATTTTATTTCAGGAGGACTTGGCACCTGACCACTGTACCAAAGGTACAATTCCTGATAATAGCAGCTGAAATTACTTTCCCTAACTGATCTGACCTAAACCTTACAGAATCTAAGGAGTTTATTCAAGAGGAAGATGAGACACATCAGACACAATAACCTAAATGGACTTGGTTAATAAACCGATCAGCTCTTCCTCTACCTGGGAAAAAAACCACGTGCTGTCTTTGTGTCATGCTGTAGCTACAGTATATGTAATTCAAACAGGAAATTTGAGTAAAGTAAATTAAAGCAGAACCCTTATTTTTTCTTTTAATGGAAATGCTTTTACACAGTCATTTTTCTTTTGTGTGCAGGATAAACCTCCAACCATAGTGGATTATTGGACTGTATGTGGACTTTTTTGTAGGCTATAATTTCTATTTTAACAATGATTTTTAATTATTCCTAATTAATGTTGTAATTTACAGAAAAAGCAACATTTAAGAGTGTTTTATAGTTGTAAGACATAATCATGAAAATGGATAAATGCAAGCGCTCCTATCCATAAGTTAAAGATTACCATCTTTAAGTTTCTAAACTGACTTCATTGTTCTGATGTATTAAACCCAATGTTAATGAGTTTCACTTGTATTAAAGCCCATTTAAGAGAGTTTTTTAACACAGGTTACAGCATTCTTTAGGGGTTTTATTTTGAAAGGTGTGTGTAAATGCCAGATTTCACGCACCCTCGCTATCGTTAGTAAATTTGTACAGCAGAACACTCAGGACCGATTTTAAATTCCTGCTTTTGTTTTAGATTTTCCCACTTAAGTGTTAAGTTACCTAAAACTAAAGAAAAAGAAATAGTTATGACAATTAACAGGAAAGACGGATGTGGCGTTGTTCAATTTAAGCTGTTTGTTCTGGTGTCACTACCTCCTCAGGACTCATGGCAGGCCTGTGTCTCTGCTGTGGTTGGAGGCAGTCCCAAGGAAGAAGAGGAACTCATTCAGCCTCTGGTGTCGGCTCTTCAGCAACCACAGCGAAAACTCTTCACCCTCATAACTTGGGACAGCACACTTGCTAAGGTATCTTTTATTGCTAAAGGTTAAATGTACCCGACACACACAAATATCTGTACAGAGCAACAGTTTTTTCATCTTTGTGTAACCAGTTTGAATATTTGCATTCTCATTAATTATTCTCTAATATAACATAACATTGTTCTCCTTTACTGGATAGTTAAAATAAGAAGTGAATTATTTTTCAAATTGTTGTGTCTTCTGTTTACCTGTAAGCTTTTGTCAATAATGTTTGTTGCACAAAAAAGGTTGGAAAGAAATTGTTCTGACTTCATCTGAGATCATTGGAGTAAAGATACCTCACCTGGAAGAAATATGTATACTTGGTAAATATCCCAAAAAACGTTCTGAATCCTAACGAGTCAACTTTAATTGATTTGGACTCCTGAAGGCGAGGAGGATGGTAGCTCTGTACTGGAGAAAAATGGATGTGCCCTCGATACAGATGTGTATAAAGCAGATGGCATCTTGCATTATGCTGGAAAGGCTGACTTGTATAACCAGGGGAACGGCTGCAGAGTTTGAGACTCTATAGAATCCTTTAATAGAGTTTCTTAAATGTCAAAATGCACAATTAACCTAAAACGGCTGCATTGATGTATGTTGTTGAGTGTTTGTGTTTTGTTTAATTAAATGTGTGAAATATGTGAGATGTTTTATGGAAATTGTTAATGTTCATTTTATGGATGTTTTTGTTTTGATTATAGTGTCTTTGCACAAGTGAAATGCAGTGAGGAGAATAAGTATTTGAACACCCTATTTTGCAAGTTCTCCCATTTAGAAATCATGGAGGGGTCTGAAATTGTTATCGTAGGCGCATGTCCAATGTATATAATCTTAAAAAATAGAAATCACAATATATGATTCTTTTAAACAATTTATTTGCATGATACAGCTGTAAATAAGTATTTAAACACCTGAGAAAATCATTATTAGTATTTGGTGCAGAAGCATTTGTTATTTACAGAGGTCAAATGTTTCTTGTAGTTTTCAACCAGGTTTGCACAATCTGCAGGAGGGATCAGGCTAGATCAGGCTGTCGCTGAGAAGCAGAGTTTGAGCTCCCTCCAAAGATTCTCTATTGGGTTTAGGTCTGGAGACTGGCTAGGCCACACCAGAACCTTGATATGCTTCTTATAGAGTCTCTCCTTGGTTATCCTGGCTGTGTCTTTCGGGTCATGTGGGGAGACCCATCTTCGTCTCATCTTCAATGCTCTTACTGAGGCAAGGAGATTTTTCCCCAAAATCTCACAATACATGGCCCCGATTATCCTCTCCTTCATACAGTTCAGCCGCCCTTTCCCATGTGCAGAAAAACACCCTCAAAGCGTATTGTTTTTGTTAAGTCTTCTGTGTCCCTGTAAGCTTCTGTTAATGTTTGCAGCACCGTTGCACCCAAATTTCCCCCTGTGTGGAAATATAAAGGTAGTTTTGTTCTATTCTTTGTCCCATTACATGTGGTTACCCATTCAAAAACACACATTCACAAACTGTTTATTTGCAACGAGAGACTGCAGCAACATCCTGTAACCATTTCTGTCTGTTTGATACTCTGTTGGTAACAGCTATTAAAAACCCCCAGTTTTATCCTGCGCTATGATGATTCTGGATGAATTGTACTTTTCAGATTAATCTTAATCAAAGGTGGTAATAAATGGCTGACACGTTTTGCGGTAAAAGGTAACTTTCATATAGGAATATCTGCCTGTGATAAAGTAAATTACACTATTGATTTTTTTTTTTATCAGTTTTTATTTGGAAAAGGTGTAATGATATAATAAAGCTTTAAAACGGTGAAGCTGCTATGCTTTAATTGTTCACATTTAAAAAGCTGATGAGCTGAATAACTTTCAGAAAGCATATGACTCAAAATTAAACTATTTAAGACAAGCTAAGGTTTTACATAAACTGTCCTGTTGTAAATATTAGAACATAATCCTTTAGAAACTCCTCTAGATCCTTTCTTTTTTTTTTTTTTAGCTCTTATTGTATTTTGCAGAACAAACCATCATTGTTATTAAATGTAAATATTCCTCTCTAATCGATCGTCTTCCTCACAGATCCACGAGCTGGGGAATCCAAAGAGAAAAAAGCAAGATGATCTTCCCATGTTTTATGAGGTAGGCTTCGGATGCTTGATAGCATTTGTTCTTCAAATAGTATTACATTTTACAATGAATAACATGGCAGTTGATTGTTTTTAATATTTTGCGCAGTCAGTATATTCTCTGTTGGTTTGTGAAGGTCGCAGTGTCTGCTAAGGAGCTGCTGGATGCCAGACAGGAGCTACCCTGTGACTTGCTGGCAAAGCTACTGAAATTCCAGTTGCTGCAGGTCAAAAGCTGTGATCAGCAGAGAAGAGAAGATGAGCAGGTAAAGGAAATCATTTTCTCTGGTAATTCTTAAACCCTTTATAGGGCAGTCAGTGAAATACTCTAAAAATAAAAATTTCAAGCCAATAGTTTTATTGGAATCCAGGACAAGACCTTCTTACCTTTGCAACATTACAAAATATGGGTATTTTGATACAATGCAATAAAAATGGTTGATAAGAACATACATTACCCTGGTTTAGTTAAATCGGTGGTCTCCTGATGATTAAGTGTTTGGAAGGAAAAGGTACTTTATATCACTACGTGTGGGATTGGCCAAAAAATAAATCAAAATATTGAAAAGAAATTGTTTTGACTTTATCTCTGATCATTGGAGTGATGATACCTCACCTGATAGAAATATGCATACTTGGTATCGAGGGTGTAAGTTTGTGACGAAAGACACTCTAAGGGTGTCTTACTCAACCCGCACACTTTCATTAGGTTTTATATTCAAAAATATATTTATTGAATGCTTTCCTATTTTTGAGAACACAAGATAACTATAAAACACTAATATTTATATTTATAGATAGTTTGAGAGATGTATTTTAGCGCATTACATATATAGGGCCCAAGAACATTAATGTATTAAAAAAATAACGAATTATAGCCGATTCCGAGGCCAAAATCAATATATCATGCATCCCTAGAAGTACAATTTCAATACCATCCAGAAAAATATCTATATGCTTCATTTTAAATATAGAATATCATATTTCTTTCTTGTAAAATTTCTTGTGAACTTGGAGATATATTTTATTGTATGTTGCATATCCCAGTAAATCTGTTTCCCCTTTAAACCTGCAGCTCTCCCTGCTTCTTTCTGTGCTCTGTTTCAAAAAGATTCATGAACCTATTTACTAATATAATAATGCCAGAAAAAAAATCAAGATATGTAGAAGCTCTGCAGTCTGATTCTATCTGTACAATAAGAAAACATGTTAATTTTAACCTGTAACTGTGAGTCATGGCCCTCTGAGAAGCCAAGATTTATTTAACTAGTAAAGAAGAACAAACTATGTTTTCTTAAGCTTCTTGCATAATAATACTAACTTGTATAAACTTATAATTTGTTGCCATTTTTAGCTGAAAAAGCTCTGGATGTCAAACAAACAGATTTTTCAGTGGCATGATCTCTGATTTTTTTTAACCAACCCGTCTCCTAACTTTTACTTAAACATCAAAGCAGCTTCCGGTTACTATTCACTGATTGCTGCTCTCTGTCTCTCCTCCATGTAGCTACTCTGAACGCAGTGAAATGCGACCGCAAATCTGATGTCTCAAAGCGACAGATCCGATGATGTTAAAGCGGTAGAGAGGAGGAAAAAAAACACGGAATCAAAACGCTGTGAACACAGTTAGCTGCACCCAAACTCTGTTACCTTTGGCTAAAGTAAATAAGCGGAAAGGGGGAAAAAAAGCAGAAATTATTGGTGGGTACATGATCCCACCAGTCCTTCAGAAAGTTACGTCTGTGCTTGAAATAAATATCCAAAAACTTTCTAAATCCTAATGAGTGAACTTTAATTGATTTTGGACTCCTGAAGGCGACGAGGATGGTAGCTCTGTACTGGAGACAAATGGAAGTGCCCTCGATACAGATGTGTATAAAGGAGATGGCATCTTGCATTACAGTGGAAAGGCTGGCACAGTTTGAGACTGCAGGGAATCTAAATTATTTAGTTTATTTATTAAATTTGTGTGTGAAGTAAGTGAAATATATTGTGGAAGTTGTGAATGGTCATTTTATGGATGTTATTGTTTTGATTGTTGTCTCGTTGTACAAGGGAGAAATATTTAAAACTCAATAAAAGCATATTTGAAAAAAAAAAAGGTGTGGCCGGACTATGTAGGATTTTCTTTAAAGGTCACTAGATGCCTACTAGGAGTCATTTTTTTTTTTTTTTTTTTTCATTCCAGCTTGAAAGCGAGGGGGAAAAGGAAAAGGTTCTTATTCATTCTAACAGCAAGGCCAAGCTCTCCAAACAAAAGGAAAAGGATCCCTCCTCTGCTCTGGATTCCTTCAAGGAGAACAAAACCAAGCTCAAACGTCGGGGTGAGATTGAGCCTCCCGTGTATCTAGGTAAAAACACAAAAACAGCCAATGGTCTATGAATGTTTATCCTTGGTCTGTGTCTATTCAGGCAGTTTGTTTTTTCGTTTGAAACCAAAAATGTAAAAAGCCAAAACACCAGTATTTTCATTATTTGAATGGAAATGAAACCTTTGACCAGGTTTAGATTTATTTTCTTTTTTTTCATGAGACAAGTGTGCTGGCCCTGCAAACTTCTCTTGCCCACAAAAAAAAAAAAAAAATTACAAGAGAGCTTATTTTTATTCTGTGGAAATAAACTGTTAATTTGACACCAGAAGATGTAACGACTACAAATTGAGAGGGTGCTCACTGAGGGACTGTTGAGCCTTCATTCTCCCCACCCAGCTTCATTTTCCTCCCACAGGAATTTAATCATTTTGTAAGACAGTTTGAACTTTTTGGTCCCGAACATCCTTAAGTTCTTCATTCTCTTCCTAATGTCTTTCCCTTCCTTCCTTTTCAGTGTCCTTTCCTTCTTCCTCTTAGGTCAGGGTTAAGGTCCTTACTTCTCCTTGTTTATATTTCTTCAGATGACGAGCCGGACTGTGGTCCCCAACATTATATTCTGCTAGTGGGATTCCATCAGCCTCGCCTGATAGGAGCGCTGGATGCCATTGGTGTTCATGTTGCAAACGTTATCAAGCTAAGCTTTGAGCACAAAGAAAGCTTGGAAGAAGAGAAGAGCCAGGAGGCCGAGGAACTGCAGGCCTCTCCAGTTCTGACTGCAGGTTCAGAGTCTTCTCTACAAACTAGAATATATATGTAGCTGTGTGACTGTTTCTCTGATGTTCTCTCTGGTGTTTCGAGGATCCTGTAGAAGCCAGACAGCTCGACCTGTTCTGGTCTCACCTGAGGTCAGTTTTAGACAGTGGAACAGCAGACTCTAAACTCCCTGATGTGATCCTGCTGAACTACCCTGTCCCAGATCTCACACCCCCCTTCCAAACACAGGATCCTCAGACTGCGGTGAGCAGAGTCTGATCTCTCTGTTGTCTTTATTAAGGCTTTTACAGAATTTAAGTCTCATAACCTGAAAATAGAAGCTCAATATTTGTCATTTTATTTCCTGGTTTGTGTTTTTCTTGTCTGTGTTCAGCTGCAGCTGGGAAGGCAGATATTTGATGGCGTCGCAAACCTCATCTATGACTCTGTGGAGATGCGCCGGCAGTATCAGCACTACAGAGACCATGTCCAGCTCATCAGTATACCCACTGTTGTCACAATGGATTCACAGCCTGCAGAGGTACATTTACAGCACTGCTCAGAGGTTTACAAGGAAAACTGCTTTAAAGGGTGTTTGAATTGTTTATTTCAGCTGGTCCTTTTTTTATTAGTGGACTATAAATATATTATTAAACAAAAACTGATTTAAATTTGAAATCAAAAGCTGCATAAGTTGCTGTTTTTCTCTAAATAAGAGATTCAACGTTTTACACAAAGCCTACAAAACTTTATTAAAACTACATCGTTTGTTTCCATTAACAAGCCTCTAGCATGATTATGAAGTAACATTTGACCATTAAAATTAATTAAAAACTTCACTCAACTAGGTTGTTTTCTGATGTTTTGGGCATGGATCTCTTTAAATCATAGTCCACACATTTCCAATAGGGTTGAGGTTTCATAAATTTTGATGAACTGTTGATTTAAGTTGAAATTGAATTTAATTAGCCGACTCACTTTATGCACTGCACCAGTATCATGAGCCGAGCATGCACCCATGGCATGATGCTGCCACCACCATGCTCGACTATTGGAGCAGTGCAGATAAATGTGGGCAGATGACAATTGTAGTTGGGGTTGTAGGTGTACAGCAGCAGCTTCTTTCTTGCCAGTGCTGTCCTGGTCCACATTGATCTTAAAATCACTTCTTTGTGGACAGACTTTGATGTTCAGGAGAGTATTCCAGTGATTGTGGACCTGGTTGCTTTCTCTCTTTTTACTCGATGAAACTATTGATCTAATATAAAGAAATGTCTCACTGTTTCACTCTAATTTGAGTCATATTTCTTTGGAAATGTTGATTAATTGCTTTGAGGTTTTGGCTACATGTCATAAAATGGTGTTAGCAGAGGATGGTTTCGATCCATCGACCTCTGGGTTATGGGCCCAGCACGCTTCCGCTGCGCCACTCTGCTGTGCTAATATGTGTATCAAAAAAAAAAAAAAAAAAGAACTCAACAACCCTGAGGGTGCAGGTTCGATTCCTGCTCGGGGCTACAACAATTGGCGTACTGTGTACCAGTTCTATTCTAATTTCTTCATCAACTATATCTGTTGAGGTGTAAATTGTTGTACACTTTGGACAGGATCATAATAGTTTATATGAATGGATAATAGAATATGTACATAATAGGTATATCATAAATAAAGTATTATTTTTTAACAAATAAAATGATATATATATCTAGAAAACATGAACCTATAGTCTAGATTTTAGATCAATGCAGAAAATAGATGTTTGTTATAAAAATGGCAAAACGGCTTCCAGTAGAGCTGTTTAGATCCCCAGCCATGTAATTTTGAGTTTTAACAACCAAGTTTATCTGGTAGAAACAAAAAATAATGGAATAATGCAGCAACTCTGACAGTAAGGTACAGCTTGATAAAAGAACAATATGAGCAAAAGGCACAGCATGTTAGAATAGCACCTCGAATGAGTTTGGTTGCAGCCCTACAAAATAAAAGACTACAAAGACAAAACATGTCATTTCAAACTGATATAGGCAGCGATTTGACAAATGCTTGAATTAATTACTGATTTTGTCTTTAAAAAACATGAGGTCATTTAGGTATTCCCTGAAAATAATGAGATTGTCTCTTATAGCTTGACCTCAGAAGAGGGCTACGTTATTGCAGAATAAAGCTACGTTTTCCCTTTGTGAAAAACAACACATCATCCCTAGAGAAAATATGATTTTCTTCTTCATTTTTGCCTGTTAATGGGCAAAGATATATTGGATCATTTTTAAAAGAAGTACATGAAAACTAATAATAAAACTTATGATTATTAATTACAGATTCAACCACCATATAACAGTAGAGGGAACATTTTTTTATACATTTTCCATAGAAGAAGATAAGGGTTTAATATTTATTTATTCTGTGATCAGATTGACCTATTTGAGACCATTTACAACAAAAAGTTTCACTTAAATTCTTATCAGACATAAACACTCCAGCAGATTTTATCAGAGCTCAAGAAAATTGATTACCATAATAAAGCTCACTCTATACTTATTTATTGATAATAATCTCATAGTCTAGAGTAGACTCAATTCTGCAACAGGGATCACAGTCTTTCATCATTAGCATACACTTCTTTAAATTTAGCAAGGAGTAGAAAAATCTGTGACATCACATAACTAAATAAATTATTTTATTCCAGGATGTTGGTATAGTTAGATGCAGGAACACAAGTTAAAAAGCAGGAACAGTGTTTCCTCTTTGCTGGTAAATACAGAGCAACAGCGCCACTTCCCTTAGTGGTCATATTGTGTATTACATCCGTAGTGGTTTAGGACTACCATAGGAAATGAATGGGAAACAGTTTAGGGAGCTAAACATTGCTGTGTTCATAGGATGTTGGCAGCATGTAAGAGTGAATGCTGTCAGAGGAGGATGTTTTTAAATGTATATCAAATATTTCTTTACACCATCTACTAAAGCTAGTCATTAATATTTATTTATTTCATGGGTTTTTGTGGTTAAACATTGTGTCTGCTGTTCTCCAGACCCGACTCAGGAAAAGGCGACCAGTCAGAGATCAGGGCGCACCAGGCGCAGGTTAAACCTCTCTTTTACTAACAGCTCACATGTTGTTGTTTGCTTTTTTACCCAAAGCTATAAAATCTGTCTCCTTCCTCTAAAACCTTCCAGAGTCAAAGCTGCCTCCTTTATATGTGGATGTGGAGATGTGTGACTATAACAGTCTGTTGGAGCCTGTTCCCTATGAAGCCTGTTCTGTGCCGCTAATCCTGCACTGTATTCTGGAGCAGGTAGGTGTGCAGTGCATTAGTGTGTGTCCCTTTATATTTTTAGATGAAGCTTCAGTTATTGTCACTTAACAATCCTCTGTTACAGTCTTCCATTTGTGTCATTAATAGTTTCTCATCTAAATTTCTCTTCAGGTGGAGATTTCCACAAAGCCGCCTTCTCCGGGCCCTTTGCAGGGGCCTGAGGAGCAGCAAGCTAACAGTGGTCCTTGGTTAGACTGTGATCAGGTTAGCTATATGCTCCAGAGCTGGCTGCCTCTCCTGAAGACAGAAGAAGAGAAACAACATTTGTTAAAGGAAGCTCTGAACTATGTGCAGGAGGAAGAGGAGACAGAAGTGAGTACACAGCAGTGATGTGTGAAATCTAGTGAGGGGGGCGGATCTTGTTCGAATGGCGGAGGGTTGCCCATATGTGCAGCATTGGTGGTTCAGTGGTAGAATTCTCGCCTGCCACGCGGGAGGCCCGGGTTCGATTCCCGGCCAATGCAGCAGCTTCTTTTTCTTTTGATGGGTGGTCTTTTGAGCAGGGGGTCTCATGTTCCAGCAGAGAGGACAGACAAGTAGTTTAAAATACATCAATCCAATCCATTCCTGCTATTTTGGCATAACCATACTGCCTCTAAAAGCAGCTTACACATAGAGCATCAGCTCTTAAGTCAGCGTCGGGGGAGGGTCGGGAACGCTGCTCTGTGGGCAGACTGCACGCCAGGGAAACTGTTACTTCCTTTGTTTTTATCTTTAAGCCTGAAACTGTTATAAACCTGATGAGAGGAGAGAAGTTTATGTTTTTTTAGTTGCTAGCAACAACCGTTAGACTGATTCCAGCAGATCACCAGCTAACGGTTTGCTTTAGAGCAGCTGTGCATGAGAAAGAATGTGGGAGTTTCTCCTGGAGCTGAATCATGAGTTAGTACCAGTGGATGTCCACCAGGTGGAGCTAAAATAAAGTGAATATGTGGAATTTGTTCCCTTTGTTGCTATATTTTGCAAATGAAGGGCACGTAATTGTTGGTCTTTTTGCAATTATTGGCCAATTTGAATAGTTTGTGATAATGACTTGGAACTTAAAAATAATCAGCATTTCTCGTTTACCAGGAGGGGGATCTAAAGATGCAGCAGCCTGCACTGTGATGCAGAAAACCATTAGACATTTACCAACATATCTGGACACATATAGGGTTGAGAAAAGATCAAATTCACAAAAATTAATTTGGTATTTCTTGTACTACTCATGCAAACTTATACAGTTGCTCCTCTAAGCAGCAATAGTAAAATAGGAGGAATAATGATGCATCCCTGAGTATCATGTTTTATGTATTTCCTAACAGCTCAATTGGATTTTCTTTCTGAGTCGTCTTTCAGCCAGCTGACTGGCAGTCTTTAGAAGTACTTAAAAAGTACTTAAACGTCTCTGTTTTCTGTCCTACATTAGAGGCTATTGGAAAAGTTTGGACCAGGGCCTGCTCAGAAGAAGCCTGATTATCCTCTGGTCATCAGCTGCCATGATGAGAGGGCGCTACGATTACGGGACATTAACGTGAGAATTTATGCTCAAAAACTTCCAACACTTTTTAAAATATGTATGACTGTCTGTGTCCAGACAGAATAAGTTGATTTGAAACATTAACCTCTGCAGTTTCACTAAAGTTGCTGAGTCACCTACATCTGTGACCCATTCAGGTGGTTAAAGGTATCAATCCAGCTGAGGTAGAGTCATCCATGATGGAGAGTTTTCCAGCCTGGCAGCGCATTCTGTCTGTAGTCAAATATAGAAACAGCAACATCTGCTGGGAGGCAGTGAAACAACAGCTGAAGCACTACTGCACAGATGGTCAGAAAATCAGCTCACATCCCTGCTTCTATCCATCTGCTCTTTGTTTTTTTTTCTACACATTTGCTGTTTTTGTCCAAATTCTAAGTGATACTAAATTATTCTTTTATGTAAATAAAATAGAGAGTGTTTCCTGGCCTGAGGTGGAGCGCCTGTTTCATCAGAGTGTGTTTGAGGCTATGATACTGACCATGGTGGATCAGAACAGCGTTTTGCTGAATGCTCCTGAACCACAGCCAGTGCAGCAGCAGACACTAGTTATCCCATGGGACAATCCTGTTCTATTTGCCAAACAGAAGCTTCAAACCGTTCAGACTAAAGGTTTGTAAACAGGTGAATCAGTCGCAGAGAAACCCAGCTTCACCCACTTACCTCCTGATGTAAATGATCTATAGGTCCAGCATTTCTGACTGAAGACCCTGGAAACACAGAGGTATTGTTAATATTGTTTAAATTGTATTTCTTCTGCCAGCTCATTTTTAGTGTTTTATTTTAGATGAGAGAAGAACCCTTTAATTCAAAGGTTTTGCTGTGATGTAGTCATCGTTGCGTTTCTTTCTCCAGCACCTGGATGGGGAAGTCATAACGCAGCTGGATTCAGTTGAACTGCAGGATTGTAAACAAAGATCTCTGTTTGACTGGTACTACACAGAGCATCACAGTTCAGCTGTTCTTCCACAGGTCAATATTTTATTCATAAATGGGATAAAATGAGGCACTTTTTACAGAAACTCCACACATTCTGCTTCCTTTAGGTTGTAGAAACCCTAACTCTGACTTGATGCATCATTTCTCCATTGATTTGTGTGGATTTGTGAGAACAGTTTGGCTGATTATTTTAGACAACCCAGGCAGTACAAAAATGTAGTTTTCCACAACAACATGCTTTTAAACCATTTGAATGAACCTCTAGCTGTATGTTTATTTCTTTTTGTCGTGCTGGAAGTTTAACCTCAGCCCCATTCTAAATTCTTCTGCAGCCTCTATCACTTTTTCCAATGTATGCCTGTATTTAGCTGAATTGAGCAAAGCCACAGCATGTTGGTGCAAGTATATATATATTAATGATATTAAGTAAATATTTTGTTATTAAAAGAAAACTGATGTGTATGTATTTTTTTTTTACTGTTTTCAAGGCTGCACTTTAAAAAAATGAAATAGTCAAGAGAGCCGTTCTTAACCAAATTTCTTTTTGTTTACACTTGTGTGTACAAAATGACAAAATAAATCTGTTTAAGTACCATAGTTATCCACTTCTATGTGGTTTGTGAAAGTGAAAGCCCTTTGGGAAACTCCTCCAACTCCCATTGTCATTGTGACACAGCACACACAAGTGAACACTGCACACCATGAAATTGCATTTATGCCTCACCCATGCAAGGGGGCAGCCCTCAATGGCCCCCCATCTTAATTACTCCCCCCACCAACCTGGCGGGTCGGGAGTCGAACCGGTAACCTTTGGGATCCAAGTCTGACACCCTAAACTTCTCCTCCATTCCCATCCTTGGCCTACCTGCCTACCCTGGCAGGTAATGGTAGCCCATCCATTTAGCAAAGTTTACAGGAAGAGAAGCACCTGACAGTTGAGTAAATATTTCACGTAACAACATTCAGGCGTTCCTCCCTAGTGGAGATGTTCACATCGAGGTCATTCATTGCAATTAGACAGCCCTGTCAACAGAGTTAATCATCCATGCATCACGACAGCATTTCCCATTTGGAAATGAACCGAGGAGAACCGTCAGGTTTCATATCCAACAAGCACTGGGAACTGCAAGGACTGCCACTGGTTTCAGTTAACCCATGTTACACCATGTCTGCTCTATGACGATTGTTTGTTTAATTGATATGAAATTAAATATTGTGTAGACATAAAAAAAATCTTACCTCTCTCATACTTATTTCTGTAAAATTTCTGTTTAGGTTCTCCAAGTTGCCTCAGAAGAATATAGTTGCCTGGACATCTTTAGAGGAAACATTGAAAACATTGTGTATGTTTTTTGCCACAACCCTGTGAAGTCTCAGCGCCTGCGTAAAGAGTTCTGGGATGTGGCCCTCCACACAGATGTCAGGTTCAGGTCAGTATTTCTTCCCTCATCTTTCATCCTTTCTATTAGCTCCAGATCCATGTTAGATCTGGGGCTTTAACTGAACGCTTGGATGTTATACTAGGTCCATAAAAAACATCAAATGTCCTTCTATTGTTGCACAGTTTGTGGAAGTATAGATAAATATATTTTATTCAGATATACCAATTTTAATTAGGATTACCAGCAGAAAAATATACTTTTGAGCCTAGAAAATAGTGGAACTTGAATATAAACGATCAGCAGATAACTTTGTCTCCTCTGATCTCCCCATAGAAAATATCTGGAGCATGTGGCTGATAAAATTTCAAGCTGGACAAAAGAAGAAGAGTTGAAAAGGGAGAAAAGGCTGATCATGAACCAGAGTCCTGCTGAGGCTCTGAAAGGTGCTGCTTTGGTTTTAGAACAGACTGTCAAATGAACAACCCCCATCAGAAACATGTGAACCAGCTGCTGGTTTTTAATTCACTATCTTGATGCCTTGTCTCTCCTCAGGGCCTGGTTACAGTTGTCATGTAAAGATTAACTGAGGATAGAAGCTTAGCTGAACATAAAATAAATACAAGAATCATATTTCAGCTGTAAAAATACTTTAATAGATTTACTCTTCTATATCTCCTATATCCTCCCCTTGGCTGAAAACATTCACAGACTATTTTTTTTCGATATCAAAGAACTCTCTGAATAAAATCGGACCAGTTTGCCTCATATTTCTGCATACCTTGTTTTATCAAAGTGAAGCTCACAAAGCAAAGACTGTAATCATTTTAAAGCCTGGATATCAGATTAAGTTTTAATGTGATGCATTCATATCATTTTCCTTTTTTTTTATATTTCTTTTTTTTATGTTTATACTTGATTCATAATATTTTGATATAGCTAATTTGTGTTATTACATATTTGCAGGATTTTATCCTGAGTTAAATGGGCCAAGAAAATATGTTTGTAAGAATATTGCAGTTAAAGAGCTATTAGAATGTGACCTTTGCCTGAATATAAAACAAAGCAGCCAGAAATGTTAACAGGTAGAATATCTTTTTTCATGATCTTACTTTTCTTATGTAGCTTCCAACACTTTGGTGTCTAAATGTTTTGCAATTTTGGCCAAAATGAGTTCTTAAAATGGCAAAAACAAATTTATTTGCTTTTTTTTTGTCTAACCACTTAATACTGATTCTGGCTGTATGATCAGACAGTATTATCTCTGTAAAGTGGCTTGAGATTAGACGTGTTGTGAATTGGCGCTATCTAAATAAACTGAATTGAATTGTTTTGTGAAGGGCTCCCATTAGTGAAATCTGCACCTTGTCTAGGCGCTTGAGCTGACAAACCAACTCTTACGGCCCTATGCCCTTTCCTTACCAAACAAACTAGAACAGATGAATAAAGACGCCATCTATCTTTAAAGTCTTGATCCAGGGCAGCTCTCCTTTCTTTCAGTTTCAGTACTGTGTAAGAATGTTATTTGTTTTTCATGTTTAGATGAAACTTCTGCCTGCTCCGTAGTGGAGGAAGAAGCTCTGGAACCAGTCATCAGAGAAGATTCCCTGAAAGTCAGTCACCTGAAACTCACACCACTGAGCACTCACATGGGCCACACCAGTATTCAATTACAGTAGAATATGATTAACCAGAGGCCACTTTGTCATCACCAGGATCTCTTTTCATTAGGTGGATGTAATGACTCACTTAGCATCGCAGAAGCATTCATTAGCTTTAATAATTATATCATAGATGTCAGATCTGTGACTTTAAATACAGTGAGATTGAAAATGATGATTGTTTGCATTATTTCAATGGGTATCTGTAGTTTAACAAGGTGGCTTGTTAAGAAAAAAAAAAATTATGTTTTAATATGCATTCTGATTCATCAATGATACATACCGGATTACATCATGAAAAATATCTATTTTTTAGTAATAATGTAAGAATTTTATATACTCACTCTCATTTCTTTCATTGGCATGTCAGTCTTCAAGCCATTTAAATAAAACGTGAAACAGTGGTAGCCCTCTCACATTAGTTCCTTCTTTGATCTTTCTATTATGTTATTTTTAAAGGCCATGGAAATGGAGCAGGAGCGGATGAAGAAAGAGGAGGCCATCAAAAAATCAAAGAATAAGGCCAAAGGCAAACAGCAGAAAGAGGTTAAGGCATCTGACAAGAAAAACAAAGCTCTGCTTGGTGACGAGAAGAGGAGAGAACATAAAGGAAATGAAGGAATTGTTTCAACCATGACCCTCACAGCTCCGCACGCTACCACAGCAGCCGCTGAGGATGAACAGAGGGACCTCGGTCTAGAAGAAGAACCTGACAATGTGAAGGAACACAGAAATCCAGAAATGAAATATAGTGTTCTGTCCTCCAACTGCTCATTAGGTGTTGATTTTAGATTATTTTTTTGTTGCCATAGAGATTCATCGGCTACATCACGGACGGACAGTTGATCCATGCATCAGGACACATTGAGGAAATCTACCCCTCAGATGGAGGACGGATTACTGTGGAGCATGTGAGCTTTGTTGAAGGTATAGACAATTAAAACCAACAACCTTAAAATCTGCATGTGTCTTTGCATTTCTATGCAGATTCCTTTTAGAGCTAACCCGTCTAACAGTAACAGGTGGTTAATCTGTGGTTTTCTTTCCTCTGTCCTCATTAAAACACTGATTTTCCTACTCAGGTCCTACCATGATGAAAGTAGCAGTAAAGAAGGATGGACACCTCTTCCACACGCACATCAACCACATTGTTCATTTTCACCCTAACCCCCCGAGTAAGCCAGAGGATAAGAAAAATATGGATCCACAGGGGGAATGGAAAGGTGAAAAAAAAGCTTCACATAACCAGTTAGCAACTTAGTGCTAACTGGTTAGGGAGATGCTTCTGACACACTGGCCATAACCAAAATAGCTTGCAAACCTTCCTCCACAACAATCCCACCCCCTTGATTATCGACCAATCATATTCACTTTATTCACTCGTGTAAAGTCTGGCACCACTCGGGATAATTCAGAAATGCAACCGTTGAAACAGCTGCTTCCCTACGACTTTAACAATCTGCGGTGTAAAATATTTTGAGCACCAGTTCACAGTGGAGCCAGCTTTATATCACCATGTATTATGAAGGTCCCAATGATAAAGCCCCTGTTCAGTAACATACAAAGATAAATTTAATTTGCTGCTTCCGTGTGCCAGAGGCCTCTTGTATAAACAAGACGAGCCAACTGCATTTTAAATTAACTGTAGTAATATAGTGCCTCTTCAAGCCAGAGGACTCCACAGCACCTTAAAACTGCATCCACTCATTCACCCGTTCACACCCTGATTGTAGCAAGCTACTGTACACTGCTGTGACCAGAAGTGTGCAGGAATGTTTTAGATTTGAATGTCTTTGGTTCTTTGCCGTGCTTTCCACTGATTAGAAACTCTGTATTGATGTGTCTGCCTGTCCTGTAGAGCCAGAGGCAAGGTTGATGAAGGTCGTAAAGCAGGGCTCCTTCTCAGCAGTCCTTCGTAATCAAATCAGACTCTCCTACAGTTTCTACGGCCCAACAGCAGAAGGTAAAGGAAAATATCATATCACTATAAATGTTTGAATTTCAAACAGGTAGACTGCTCCTGTTGCAGCTCTGAGTATTTATTATGTTTGAACTGTGTTTTTATTTTAGAGGACAGAGATTCATTATTATTTATTTATTTTTATTTTTTTAAGTGTGTTTTCAGAAGACACATGTTTCCAGCCAGGAACCAGTTCCTTTCTCCTCCTCTGATTTCAGCTCCAAGAGACAAATCCAGGCCATTGAGGTCAGGCTTTCTCTCCTGGATTAAGCGCACATCTAAACAAACAAAAAGAAAATATTTGTTTTGTTGCTTTAACCACATTCTGATGTATTTTAAGGAGTGCATCGTTCAGTCAGCTCAACAGTCGCATTCTCTCAACGGTCTCAGCCTTTCTGTTCCTAACGGATTACTGCTGCAGTTTCTGCATGAGGACACACAAGGTCAGTGGGAGCTGGATGAAACCACAGCAGCTTGCAGTCTGCCCCATCAGCTCATTCAATGTGTGAATGCGTCGTATTTCTCACCTCTTTGTTGAGTTTTATGCTGTACCCTGCTAAAGTATTCACACCCATTTGCTCACTTTACAACACAATTGGGGTGTTTCATTGCTATATCAGAGATTATTTGTTTGAAAAGAAGAAAAAAACATTTTGTTTATGCCCCTCTTAACCCTGACACCATTTAATAATATGAAGGAGTGCCAGACTAGAGATTTTTTATTTTTTAAGAATAAGGTCGTAATATTATAAGAATAAAGTCTTAAAATTACGGGAATAAAGGCGTAATATTATGAGAATAAAGTCCAGATATTACAAGAATAAAGTTGTTTTTTATGACAACTCTTACAAGAATCACTTTCTTCCCTAAAATGAGGAATGTCAAGCATCATGTGAAGTTATACTTTGGCATTGGTTTGACAAATAAGGAAATCTTTTAGCGCACCAGCATCAAAGAGCAGTATGTCAAAGTGGACTATGGCTGCTGTTTGGTGGAGCTGCTCGGCCGTCATATGATTGTCGGAGCTCGAAGCTTTCTTTCTGAAACAGGTTGCGATATGATGACTTAATTCTCGTTATTTTTCAACTTAATTCTCATATTATTACAACTTCATTCACGTAATATCATGACTTTATTTTTGTAATATTACGACTTTATTCTCGTAACATTACGGCTTATTCTCATAATGTTACGACTTTATTGTCGTAATGTTACGACTTATTCTCATAATGTTATGACTTTATTCTCATAATGTTATGACTTTATTGTCGTAATGTTACAATTTTATTGTCGTAATGTTACGACTTATTCTCATAATGTTATGACTTTATTCTCATAATGTTACGACTTTATTGTCGTAATGTTACGATTTTATTGTCGTAATGTTACGACTTATTCTCGTAATGTTATGACTTTATTCTCATAATGTTACGACTTTATTTTCATAATGTTACGACTTTATTCTTGTAATGTTACGTCTTTATTGTAGTAATATTACGACTTTATTCTCGTAATGTTATGAGTTTATTCTCGTAATGTTACGACTATATTCTTGTAATGTTACGACTTTATTTTCGCAATGTTACGACTTTATTCTCGTAATGTTACGACTTTATTCTTGAAATAAAAAAATAAAAAATCTCTAGCCTGGCCCTAATACACCATCATATAATACAATCCAGTGCAAACAAGAGCTTTTAAAAGTTCGTAGATAAAGAGTCTATCTGCATCTAATTTGTTGGCAGTATAAATAAAGATGTTTCTTGCAGGCGTGAGATTTTTTTAGGATACAAACAGCATTATGAAGAATAAAGAAAATCAGGGATAAAGCAGCTGAGATGTTAAAATTAGCAGATTATAAAGCAATGCAGGCCTAAAGAAATGCCTTGTTTTTATTTATTCAAGACCTGTAGAATATTTACAAAATCATTTTTATCTGCTCAAGAAGAAACTAAACAATCAAGTAAAGCGAATCATTTTTGTGAGCAAATCTTCTGTTGTTCACTGTAGATCTACAGTAAAACATGATCAGGATTTTGTAGGTTAACCTTTTTTATAGATAATTTGGATCTCTAAAAATATTTTCGACATAAAACCTGGCTTAATACATACATTGCAGTTGCAGCCAGGTTTTAACTGAATTTCCCTGGATACTTGTGGTCCTATTGCAATGATATTCAAGAGAAAGCACAAGTCATGATTATTAAACAATATTTTCACCCTATTTTCCCTTTTATGAGGAGTTGAATTTGTAGGTATTTTCTGATGGGAAAATGGATGAAGGTAAATTCAGTGCAGTCCTAGAAGGAAACATAAAATTATCTTTATATGGGACCGGTGGACACAAAGGAAGGGTTTAGATCACAGTATATGGTCTAATTCCAACTCAGCCTCTCAAGCAAACCTGAAATGTTGTCCATAGATCCTCTCAATCCAGAATGACTGTGCTTAAGCTTCAATGTTATGAAAGTTTCTATTTTATGTAAATAAAAGTACTTACCCTGATATTTCCTCCGTGAGCAGGAGTGTCTCCAAAGGAGGGCATCTTGGTGAAGCAGAGCTTTACTTTCCGTGGTAAAGGATGTAAGCAGCATCTTCAGGACGCATCCCTTACTCAGGAACTATATCGCATTGTTACGAGCCAGGGAGCTGTGATCCGTTACCTGAGAGATGGATCCACAGAGGTATACATACTGTACACTGATGCTGCCACGTCTTCAACCTGTGTGTTCACCACAGAGAGTTGTAGCTTTCCCCTGATGGGAGGTTCACAGCTGTTAGATGTTTTACTGCTGCTCATCCAATAAGGTGTTTTAGATCACATAATGTTTAAATCTCCTGTTCCTAGTGATAAAACTTTCCTGTCTTTTAGCCCAACAAGAAAACATCCCCCACAGCATGACAACAACCAGATACTTTATTAATTTCTGCTAAGGAAATTCCAACATGAAACAATTATGTTTGGACAATTCTAACATTATTATCTTCATTTCAAAACCATGAACAGATCTGAAATATGAATAATAGGAGGTGAAGTCTGAGCTGCAGCTGTATGAATTTATACAGACAGATATTGAGTAACCTTGTAATGTTAACGTCGTAGGTTCTGTTCCCAGACGGATCAGTTGGTTTCAGCTCAGATTCAGACCCAGTGTTGGAGCCTGATGACACAGCCGATGGCCAGATGAAAGGTTCGGTTCCTTAAAGAGATCTGATCTCACCAGTAGAAGCGTAGGCATCACATTGAATGCGGCTTTTGTCAAACACTTCTGTGTTTTATTTGTGTGCAGATCAGACATCGGAGGGTGAAGCTGAGACTAAGAGAAGGGTGTGGCAAATGACCACTTCATCTGGAGTTAGCTTCAGCATCAATGGAAGTATACACAGAGATCTACCCTCTATTCTCACCTTTAAGGCTACAGACCCTGGGACCAAACAGGTGACGCACTGCAGATCAAGTTTTAAACCAAAGCCCAGAGTGGCCATGGCAGCTATTATATTTTTTTATGTGCAAAATATGTTCATTTGGGATGGGAGTGGATGGGTCAAGGGTGGTTACATGGGTTTCCAACTGTGTAGAGCCTAAAGAGCTCTGCTGTCCTGTAAGGGGGGATTGACATTACGAAAAAGAAAAGGTAGAAAAGTAAATCCAAACATTTATCCCCCACCTCTTCAAAAAAAGTGCAACAAATTCTGTTTACATCCATATACCTCTAAAAAGTAGGGTTCCTGCATTAACAAAGATAAAAAGCAAGTAGTGATTAAAGCCTGCAGGTAAAGGATGATATATTTATTTCTGTCCAATGACTACATCAGGGGCATCTGTCTCTCAAAGAAGCATCTTTGTCAAACATCCAGATGCTGCTGGCTTCCTGTTAGAGCAGGCAGGACTAACACCAGGTGTAGTGCTCTATTTGTAGTGTCCAAGCTTCAAGATGTTACATTTTCAGAAATGATGTTCTGCATACCGTGATTCTAACAAGGTGTTTTGTTCTGTTACTAAAATAAAATTTAAAATTGTTCAGACTACATTATAAACCTAAGAAATGGCTGCATGTGAAACTGCCAGTAGACCTACAGCTTCTAAAGTACTCCATGTCTGTAACACTTTTAAGTCCCTTAAATCACTTTTGTCCTTATTTTGAGGCCCCATTTGAAATCCAGTAATTTTCACCTTGTCTAGAAATGTAAATGCAATGTTGCCATCATGTGGTCTTGTCACTTTGCAACCCTTTTCTGGAATAAACAGCCAAATGCGTAAAAGGACTTAAAGATCCTTAGAGTGACTAAAAGTATAATTTGGACAGTTTCATAAGAAGTCATAGTACTGTACATCAGGTGCTTCATGTATATAACCATTGGTGCATAAACAGAGCTTTTTATTGGTTAAACTGTTTAATGCTTTGCTGTTGTAAGGTTATATCGACCCGGGAAGATCAGGTTGTGATAGTCCAGAACCCAGATGGATCACTTATTGTTGACCACAGAGATGGAACTAGGATCAGCAGCTTCCTTCTAGCACGTAATGGTAATGTGTACGCTGAACAACCTGACACTTCCTAATCACATTCATCCACCAGCAACAAAACTGTGAAACTTTGTCAGAAACACGGAGCTCTCTGTTTCTTTTCCAGAGGAGGAGCCTGTTTGCGTGAACAAATCGAAGGAGAATAGAGACTTTAGAGACGCTTGTGACGAAAGAATAGAGATGAGCAGAAACTCAGGAGGCCACACATTACATCAAAAGATTATAAATGGAGAGGATGAGAGTGTGTTTCCTCAGGAATATGTAAGTGAGAGCGGTAAGAGGGAAGAAGGAGGAGAATCTGTCAAGGAGAGGATGATGCTGGTGGAGAAGGAGGGGTTTGCAACAATAGAGATGTACCCCGAACGTCAAGCAGTTCGTGTCGTTTTAGCCGACAGAACCATCATAACTGGGAACAGCCAGGCTGAGTATGAGGTGTGACTCAATACTGTTCTATCAGCCACAGAAATCACTGATTTAACCATCAGATAGCATCTAACTCATAATGTGTTCTTTTATTGAATTCTAAATGGCTTGTTTTAATTACCCGCCCAAATGTATAATCGTTCCCAATCATATGCTCTTGTTTGGTAGGTGTTCCCATCTGGTGCAGGATATCTGCGCATGCAAAGTGATGGGAAATGTGTGTACTCCTCTGACCTCCAGCCAAAAGGTTTCTCTCCAACTAACCAACCAGGAGTTTACACCATGAGTCACACCGACAACATAGCCTGTGATGTCACCGACAAAAACGGAAACCACTTCAAGGTTGTCCTTTTATGATTTAGGGGTTCATGGTTGTTGAATACATGCCCCACCCTGAATCTCCTGGTGTTTAAATTCAGATAAAACCCTTCATCTAGAAAAATATATATTTAAACACATTAAAATAGCATAAATGATTGTTTTTACGTACAGTTCACCACTATGTCCATAAACAATAAATATACAAAGAAGCCTGGGAAAAAAAAAGAACAAAATCAGCTGACATTAGGTCTGAAATGTCAAAGTTAGTCCTCATTACATGAAAAGATAAGATAGAAGAAGTGATATTAACAGCTTTAACTCAGAGTTACATAATGTCAAGATTAATGGTGATTTTTACAGCGATGAGTTTGAAGAAATGTTGTTTGTGTTAAAGCCTGGAAATCTAACAAACCTGTATCATATCTATAGTTGTAAATTAACTCTATAGAGCCCATGCTCAGCTATCATCTTCCTCAGTGCAGAAAGACATCATGACAAACACTGTAATAAAAAGAAATGTAAATAAACAAAAAATAAAATTTAAAATAAAACTCATTAAGAATAAAAAGTTTTTCTTGTTTAAGAAACTTGAAGTGTCAGCCTGTGCTGGAGTCATTTTTATTCAGCCTGGGTTTGTTAACAATATGAAAGTCCTCTAGACCAAAAGTTGACCTTTTTGTCATTTGGTGAGGGCAGCTTTTACATTTAAGTTGTTTAAGGGGCACTTTAATTCCTAAAACCCCCCGTGTGTCATGATTGATGCTAATATTGGACAGAAATGACTCGAGTGAGACAATGCAAACCCAGACATGGAGGAAAGCTCAGTGTGAGTCCTACGTCCAACACCTCTGTCATGTATTTCACCTGCAAAAAAATCTTGAGTGTCAAGAGCAGCTTATTCAACCCAAATATAGGTTGTAGAGGTTTTTTCTTTCCTTAAACCCTGAGGCAAATGGTTTTTAATAGGAATAGAATCTATGGGCCAAGAGAGAATGCTGCCTAAATACTTGTCTGTTGTTAATAGGTCACTAAGCAACACTAATTGTGTTGGAAAACATATAAAGTAGGTGCTTTAAAATACAATGGAAAGATTGATAGTGAGTTGTTTAAGTTTTATGCTTTGACCATTTTAGGTTTTCTGTTTCTTAAGACTTAAAAAACCAAACGAAGCAAAAAAAAAAACACATAACACATCTACCGTATGTCTCATTATGACAAGTGTTCTGAAGATGTGAATCTGTGGTGCAGGTGATGGAAGATGGACAGACTGTAGTGCTAAGCTCTAGTCCCCCACCGGGCACGCCTACACAAGAGAAAGAAGAATCAAACGGAGCAACAAATACGCCGAATGCAAAACACAAAGATCTTTGTCCCAGGTGTCCTTTCACACACATTCTGCTCATTTTAGCATCTTTTATGTAACAAATTTGTAGATTATAAACTAACACTGAAGGTATAATATATGCTAAGTTGTAGCATGATTGTGTAAAAAGGATTTTTTAAATTCCAAATTTCTAAAAAGAAAATAATATAGATATATTATGTTTTTATAGGCTTTTTCTGGTGCATGAAGATGGGTCAGGCACTGAACTGCTAAACTCTCATACTGTAGAGGAACTGCTCCATGAGGCACACTCTGACCCTACTATTGAGGTGCTGAAGGAGCCTTTACCAGACAAACAAGGTACCCATTTATAAATATAACACTCATACTGTTCATTACAATTGTTAACTAACCAGTCTGTATTCCAATCCTTTCCTATAGGATATTGATTAGGAATAAAACTGCTTATAAGCTGCTGAAATCAGCCTCATTCATAGGGTGGCTGGGCTCAGCCTTAGAGATAATGACAGGTTGATGTACTTGATTATCACAGTGTCTACTCCTCCACATCACAAGTTTTCAACTGAGGTGGTGAGAACATCTGAATTGGGTGTCCCCCAGGAGCAAAGAAGGCTCTCCCCTGCATAGCAGAGGGGGTTTGCTAAATGACATCATCACATCATTGGTATATTATAGGTAAATCAACATTGGAAAGATTAAAAATACTGCAACTACCTTTAAAACTTAAGACGAACCTTAACAAATAATTTCTCGTGATCAGTGAGGTTATTTTAACCTGAACTAAAACTACGTTAATCAATCTTATGTTATCAAATCCAACTTAAAGAAAGTTAAATGAGGAACACAGTGAACGGGGCTGTCTATGACTTGTAGTGAGGATCTATTTTAGTGCAAAATACGCAGAATATTATATCTACATCCTGCTATTTAATTCAAGGGGAACAGTGGAAGCTTTGTGCTTGCGTGACTACTTATTAATGAGGAAATAGAGGAAGCTCTCTCGTCGCTCACTGATCGAAGACACGGGCTGCAGCTGCTGCGCCTGACTCCCCGTCAATGTTTTGTAGGAAGGAAGGGTTTGCATAATCGCTGCTCGTTGAACAGTAAACTTAGCCTGACGTAGTCCTACTCAATTCTAGTCAGAATATGAGTCTGATACTTCTCCATAGAGCTGTGATTATGGGGCGTGTTTTGAACGAACCAGGAAAAAAAATGCCTCTGCACTCAATTGGATAGACCTACAACCAATAAGAGCAACGGAGTGTGTGATGTATGTTAAGCGACGCATAGTTGGTGTCAACAAAAATCAAAGCGTGTAGTTGCACGCCTAGAATAAGAAGATTAGCCTTGATCGCGTTTCTCTGTTCCTCTTTTAAAATTAATTTGCTGTCGATATCTTCTAGAACAGACCTAATAGCAGAATCTACTCACCTCAACTCTCCAGCGGCAGCCATTATTGTTGTCACCCAAGCGCGCTTTGGTCACGTGGTTGATTATGTTACTGTTGATCATCTGTCCATCATCGTGTAAAGCCCGCCCTGACAATTTGATTGGCCCGCCAGATATTGTGCTAGCATACTCGCGCTACTGTTGAGCAATGCCAGACCAAACTTCCCGACCTCAAACATTGTGGGCGGGACTAAGTTCGGAATAGCACCCAGGCTACAGTAAACTAGGAGTGATCATGCTTTCATGTTGTCATCGAAGTCTTCAACAAGGCAGGAAATGGTCGATAAATATGTCGCTAGTTGCTTTTTTGAAGAAAAAGAAAATTAATAGAGGAGTCTGGAAAATCACTAAATATAGCTTCAAAGTAGCTAAGTTGGCAACAATGTGTCCACCTACATTGTTTAGACGATGGTGGTCATTTTGACATTTTCACAGCACTTCCCTGATGTGTGCAAATGTGTTTAAAAACACAGTTTTACACAGTCCTTATGCATATTAAGAGTCAGGGTATCGACATAATTCCACTGTAATTCTAAAAGTTTAAGGAAGGAAGCCCAAATGTCAAATTTAAAGGGCTGAAATCCGGGTGCATCGGCCTGATTTGATGACAACTGGGAGTTTTTTGTGTGTTAAGGCCTACTTCACTGAAATTCGCTGGTGAGAACCCTGGCATACCTTAGGTTTTCTGTACCTTTTTGCTGGATGTAGACTGCAATGTTGATTCACAACTTGCTGATAGGAGGAATTCCCTTCTGGCCTTCAAAGAACTTGGTTTCCTTTGCCGAGCTTGAGCGTGTCTATGGAGAGTGAGTTGTCTGCTTTTTCATCCTGGATCATCCACCAGTGTTACATGAGCAGGATAAAAATAGATCGATAGCTATTTGGTTGATCTAGATGGATGGATGGTGGATTAATGATGACCTTTTTATTTTGCACGTCATTGACCTTTTTAAAATAAAGATGCACGATATCTTGCTGTAGCAAAATGCTAATTTCCACAAGACTTCTAAAGATGTGATGGCATCTTGTTAAACCTGTTTTAATCCTGTTTTCAGTGCTGCATCTTTTAATTTCTTTACTTCCAAGAACTTATGATTGAACTTTGGTAAAGTCTGTCTTGTTTTTATCTTGATTTATTTTATTTCCTTTTATTTGCTTTATTTTGATGACTGGTTGGCTGGGTGGGGGATTGCTTGATTGGTTGGACATTTCTAAAAACAAGACATATTCTTCTGTAAATGTATTTGCTGATAGTTTTGAGTAGATTATTGGTCATCTATGCGTTTCATTTAATGTTGCAGATGAGTTTTGCATCAGTATCCTAAAGCCCAGCCATGAGAGTGTGTGGTCCCAATGGCTGCTAAAGAAACAGGAACCTGACATCACCCCTCCCAATCTCAGGAACCGCAGCTGGAATAACCTCCCTCATGTAGAAGTACATACATAAAAAATGTTGCACATTTACATGGTTAGCATTAAATATATAACCCTTCTGAGTTTCTTTCTGTTCCAGAAAAAGAAACCAGGTCCTCCTCTTGGTGCTGACGTGGGGGTCGGTCTCACTCTGAAGGAGAGAGGTTGTGATTCTGCAGGAAAGCAGCAACTTTTCCAGTGCTCCCCTAAGGTCCTGGAGATAAGGCAACTCTACCAGCACCGAGCTTTCACCCAACCACTCAGAGATACTATAGACTCACGGCTGAAGGTAGCATTTTCCCATCATCCTCCTCTCTGTCGATCAGATGTGTTGATACATTTATAGGTTAGCATGTAGTGATTGTTTTTATTTCTTTCTGCAAGCTTCCTGAAAAAGAACCTTATTAATTAGATGACAAATGCTGAAATGTGAATGCAGGTATACATGCAGGATTTGATGAAGAGAGATCTCCAGTCAGAAGAAAGGAAACCGAAAGATCCTTGCAGCGAGGAGGAGATTTCTGAGGCAAGGGATCTCCTTAATTACATTCTGGAAAGAAAAACAGACACCTGTAGAAATACAGCTGTAATTTGAAGCACTTGTTGACTTCTAACCATGGCTACATGTAATATTTATACCTCATAGTGTAATATATAAAAAAAGTAATTTATGTTGTAGTCTTTGAAAGAGGAGGTGGATGGGAGTGAAAGTGCTGAAACCAGGACCCCAGGTAAGAAAATTTAATTAGCACAAAATCTTTCCTTACTGAAGTGATGTAAAGATGCCAGAGTTTCTTGGTGTGTTAAGATAATACACATGGCCTTCCGACTGTGGTGAGGATGTTATACTTTCCTCTGTCCAGCTCCAGACGGCCATGCCAGTCAAAAAATGGCAGCATCAATTGAGCAGTCAGATGTTCCAGAAGGCACCGGCTTGGAGAGATTACTGGAGTATGTATCCTAATAAAAAGTGATTAAATCTTTCATTAAACCAGTATCATTTCAACCACCTCTTTATTTTCCAGTTCTGCTGATAGGAAAGATTCAAACTGGCCCAGAAGACTTGAGCAGCACAAGTTAATAGAATCCATGGTTACATTAGTTTGTATAAAGCAGCTTTTAGTAACTGGTTAAATCTTAATATATGTTCTTTAAGAAGATAAAGCAGCTAAATCAGTGCTTCCTTTCCTTGACCTTTCATATCTCATTCCAGAATAAAAAATGGCCAATTTCTATAAAGTTCAGGAATTCCTAGAGAGATCTTAAATAAACCTAGAAACGGAGCTGTTGTTGTGATTGTTTGCTTTCTTTAAACCTTCTTTTGTTTCTTGCAGTAAATACTGGGACCTTAATCAGTTCCATTGTGGAATTCTATTCTGTTTTCCTATTCTGGTGAGTCTAAAGAACCTGAAAATATGTGGAGCGTCTATTTTCAGGTTCTATAGACTGTCAGTTAGATTATGTTGTGAACTTTGACTGGACCACATGAACAAAGTGTGTTTTGATCTACACCAGTCCATCAGGGATCTGGCAAATGCTTTAAAACGGAAAAAACTAAGTTCTGATGCCCTCCTTATTGCTATACAAATATACAACAGAAACATAGATAATATTTTATACAGATCTATTTATCCAACCATAGATCCTGTTTTGTTGTACAGAAATTCAAATAAATACAGTTCTAAATCAAATCTTTGTGTCATGAAGCCTTTTTATTAACTTCAGGCCTCATGATGTCAACATGGAAATTAGAAATTACATTTTTTTAAAAAGATACATAAAATATAAACTCTTTGAAAACATAAAGAGACAATAACTCCCTCTTAGGATTTCAGTAAGCTTATTACGTTTGTAAAATATATTTCTTCTTAGTATTTGGCCAAAAAAACAATGCAACTTTAGCAGTTATTTTACCCTGTATTTAACCCAATACAAAAATTAGACTTGTAAAAAAATCACAAAATTATACTACTAAAAAATATATCCTCAGGAAAAAGATGGGCTTCTCTCCAGCCTCGACTGTGGTTATTTGTAGTTTTCTGTTTCAGTTGTTTCTATTGTTTCTTAAAATTTGCTAGACAGCTCCACCCTGTCCCACCTACTGCTCACCTCTCTTAGGGTGGGGCACAGTGGCGTAGCGACACAACAATAGGCAACATTATCTGGGTGGGCCCCATATGAAGTACAACATGTGATAAAGTTTCAGGATATGGCAGCAGTTCCATAAAACGGTCAAGATGATACGATTATGCAAATCTCAGTAGTATATCATCACACATCACACACGGAAAAATAGTGACTGTGCACCTTGAATGGAACCATTGGTGACAGCGCACCACGCCATGTTACAGACATCCCAACTTACAAAAACTCACTTCAGGGAGATGCTTTTCGAAATACATTGTTCTTTTAAGATCTTTATTGCGGTTTAAAACATATTATATAAGTGTATTTTTTACCAACCGTCTAATGAACTATACACAGTTATTAACATAGTAATTAAAAGTACCACTGTCTGCTTTGCTATTGGTGTCGTGTTTAAACGGCTCACCATCATGTTGAAATCTGGCATGTGTTGGGGTATAAATACGGTCCACTCAGTCAACGTAGTATCAGGTGGGTTTAAGAGGAATGTTTTGCTCCATACATCTGCAAAGAGACATCCTAGTCCACAATTGCGTAGGGGACCTACCAGGTGTCAGTGATGGGGCCCCTAAGAGGTTGTGGGCCCGTAAGCAACTGCTGTCTCTGCTTGCCGGAGCACACGCTGTACGATATTTTCAATCGTCAAACACAGCTACAGCTCAAACTGTACGATGAAACCGCAGGGTTTAAAAGTTCACAGCTCACGATGTATGTTCTTACACTGTACGGGGCGATGCTCTGATGCGATCTATCTGCTCACAGTGCAAGTCCAAAAACCACATGTCGGACTCAGTGCTGAGAGATGCCACTGGATGGACTGTTTAATGTGGCAGAAGAAGAGGAAAATGACTCCCTTGTTTGTGCATGAGCCGTGCGTGAGGTTCTGGTAAATCAGCTCATAGCTCTGCTTCAGCAGAAGGATTTGGCCTCGAACACCCCAACGGCGGCCGTTTGAATGTCAAACATTTTTGATTGGAACCTGATGATTCCTGATTGCGAGGTGGTCGTTAGAGGCTAATTGCCCTGTATACTACATGACGCAAGACACACGATAAGGCTGAAACTCGCCCCGATCTAAAAAATTCTCGCACCACTGGAGAATGGGCCCCAAAAGGGTGATGTTCGTACAGTGTATGCCCGACTTTAGAGCGGAGACTGTTGTTGTTACTGTTGTTGACAAAAAACTTCAACATGGTTTCACAAACAGTTATTCACTACCAGAGCAACATTAAGCTTATTTTTAATAAATGAAAAATGATAAGCACAAAAGCTATAAACACATGAGAAATTATCCCTTGTTCAGCCTTTACAAAAAATTGGCTAGAGAGAAAGCGCTGAATCATATGCAAATGGTGGATCTCATTGCGCATTGCTTTGTGCGTTAAGAATCATCACCAGGAATCAGCTTGTGCAAAACCATCACCAAGAAATTAAATGTAGGGCTATGATTTAGTATCCTTATCCTAATCCATGCGGGTAGATCCTGGTACATCCTGCATGCTGCTATGCTGATGGGTAAATGGTTAAAACTCTGCGTACCATTGCTTACCGGCTCAGTTAAAGCTCTGGATCTGGCTGTATGCGTATTTATTTAACCCTGATAGAAAGCAAAGATGTGCCTCAGTTGCCATCTGGTTTTGTTTGTTATTAAAAATCATGCTCTAGCCTAGTAAACTAGAAACACCCGCCAGTAGCCAAAATCATTGTTTCTTGCAAGTGGTCTAGCCTCGATCAATGCCCCAGGCCCTGGAACTGGCGGGCCAATCACAATGTAGAGATGTGTTTTGAATTTCTGGATGCAAAGCGGGCAGGGTTTTGAGGGTGGGACGACGAAGCTGCGCGTCGCTGAAGAAAGCCCAACAAGGCAAGGCAAGGCAAGGCAAATTTATTTGTATAGCACAATTCAGTACAAAGACAATGCAAAGTGCTTAACATAATTAAAATATAGGGAAATAAAACAGAATCAAAGCAAGTAGGAAAAAAGAAATAAAAAAAAATTAAAAATGCAGAAACAAAAAAGAATATTACAAACAGTTGGACTAAAGAGAATAAAAAAGTTGAACTAATGATGTTTTAGTTGAACTGTTTAACTAGAACAGTCGAAGGCAATCCTAAACAAATGTGTTTTTAGTTTTGATTTAAAGGAACTCAGGCTTTCCGCACTTTTACAGTTTTCTGGAAGTTTCCAGATAAGTGGAGCATAGGAACTAAATGCTGCTTCTCTATGTTTAGTTCTGGTTCTAGGTAGATGGTAACAACTATTGAACAGTCCTCGTTTGACTCAGCTTTGGAATCAGTTTTGGACGGATTAGACTTGGGGTTTTCGTTGAAACATGAGCAGGAAGTGTCTCTATGCTCTTTCATTTTTAAGGACATATTCGCCGTTTTACCGACAGACTGTGTGTTTACACTTCCCCACCAGCTTTCTATTGCGCTTCCTACATCAGTCAGTTGCGCTCATTGGTCAGAGCGTTTGCCAATAGGCACAGACATGGTTTGAAAAACAATGAGTTCTTCCGATGTCTCATTGATCGGGGCCAGACTAAATTACACACTTAATCTCACATTTAGTCTGGTTTATCAGGCTACCTCATGTCACCATTGCTAAGCCATCATCCATAAATGTTTATTGACTCACACTCCGTTACACTCTAAGGAAATTTTTCTGACAACAAAAATATTTAATGTTTAATTTCTTGTATGTTTTATTTTTTTATTCAGAGAGTCCTATTTCAGTCTCATATCTATATGAGTGAAAGCAGGAAATTATTCCACGGGCATTATTAAAAACGTATGCAACTGACAGTGCAGATGATTTATGGGTAATATGTTATGTGTTTCAGACAGGAGATCAGCGAGGAGAAAGCTTGCAGGGAGGCTTTGAGAAAGAAGACCATTGTTGCTTATTTCCATCCAGAAAACCTATCAATTTACCAAGTATTATACAGTATATCTGTTTATTACACAATACATTTATACTCACCTGTTAAAGATTTCTGTTAGTGAATAGCTGCCTGTTCATTTAGGGTCTGCTAAGGAGCCAAATACCTGCTATGAGGAGTCCATCACAGAGCAGAGCTGAGGCTATCCTTAAAGATGCTCCCCAGGAGAGCAGTAAGTTATTCATCACAGGCTTAACAAGAATCTGTGTTTTTAACTGATCTGCACAAAATATTTGTTGTATACTATCTTGAAATAAATTTTGTTACCGCAGCCCCTCGGTCTTTAAACCCAACGCCACTGGAGTCAGAAAGGTAAAACACAGTTTATGTTTTACCTGCTTCAGTTCACACAGAATGCAGCATAATAATAATAATAAAAGCTATTTGTTTTTAGTCAAGCAGCAGAAACGGAGACGCCTGAAAGGAGACACACAAGCCCCATCTCACAGTCAGCTGGTTTGTTTCCTTCTTGTTTTCTATTCTAATGAACCCCTATTTAGTCCCCTTGTCTCTAATATACTCCCTCAGGGTACTGCCTTCATTAGAACAAAGAAAAATGGATAATAAAGTACTATAAACACCAAAGACTAACTAAATGCTACAGAGACATTTATGTGAAAAACTCAGTTTTTCCTCTAGACAATCTCGATATAGAGGATGCATACAATTCTTTTTTCCCTCTAACATTGAGATGCATGTGGTGAGAAGTCCAGCTTTTATGTGTTACAGCTTTAATCAGATTTCATTGTGTTTGATTCAGATCCAGGTGAAAGCAGCTTGATGAGCTCATCAGCGCAGTGTAAGTCTGCCCATTTGGATGTGATGGGAAAACCCAGAAGGACGAAGGTCAGACTGCCAGGCTACCTCCTCAGCTCCAAACCTCCCAGCGTGCCAAACCAACATGTAAAAATGAACACCATGTCCCCTCTGCTTTGCTGCTTTCTTTATTAAACTGTATTTGACTATTTTGTCAGATCAAATTAGTTTATTAGGGTTACGGTTGTTATTGCGTGATGTGCTACATCACTGCATAAGACAATATGTTATATCCATAAAAACCTATGTATATATACTTTCCCACATATATCTGATGTAAAACAGCTTATCCTTTGTTTGTTTTTTCTTTTTTTTTATTTACATGTTGGTCACACAAATTTGAAAGAAAAGGAAAACCTGAGAAGTTACAATGGGCAGCTTTGAGATTTATTTATCAAGGGAGCGACTTCAGGGTTTATGTTGTTTTTGTAAGCAGTAGTGCTAATTAATCAGCTACAAATTTGTTTCTCAAAAATCTTCATTAGTGCTTTGGTCCTGGATGTAGCTTTTTCCAGTCATCCAGGGCGAAGTGAGGCCTGCCATGATCTAGATGTTCTGGGATCCTTTGTTACCTCCTGCATTAGTCTGTAATGCACACCTGGAGTAATTCTGATTGCCATAACTGAAAAGGTTTTCAACTGGTCCATTCATATCCATTCATAATGGCTTTTTTCGCTAAAACTGACTTTAACACTCCATCATGTTTGATGCATGCACCCTCCATGGAGGTTTACTTTATAGGATTGTCTACTTGATTCTTTTCCATGTTTTACTTGTGTTTCCTGATTCTGCTGGTCAGTAATCAGGCTTAAATTAAATTTACCTCAGCTGTCCATCTAATCATATTAAAGTGGGGGGTTAGGGATGAATTCTCAGGACCCAGCTGTTTTGGACAACCTTTTTTTTATATTTACTACTTTCTATTTCTTTTCCAGTTCCTGGCAGTGGAGAAACCTATTAGGAGGATGTGTCGGACAGCTTCCCTAGCCAATCCCAGTAATGCCTTATGGGGCTTCCAGTTTCTCCCATCGAGTGTTGATTTTGGCACAAAGCAGAAAAACACCTGCTCAACCATTACCGTGCTAATGAGGAATGTGGGTTTCGATGCGTTGAGGTACACCATTAGAAAGGGAATTACGAATCCATGTGGGTAGATGTAGCTTTTTCTACAGCTTTATATCCAATGTATTTATATTTTCCACTCTGCTGCTGTCAGGTTCTATGTCAAACAGCCGCATCCAACCACAGGCCTCAGAGTCCTCTACAACCGTGGACCTGTAGGTTTTCCAGCTAAATATATCATGTGTTTAAAGTCACAATTCAACTTTTTTGTCTTATTTTAGTCATTTAATTTCATATTGGGTGCTGTTATATGTGTTAACGTTGAATTTGGAAAAGGTCCCTTTTAAAATGAATCAGATTATTGTCTTTATAGGTGGCTGCAGGTCTCCAGGTCGAACTTAAAGTTCAGCTGTTTGCCATTTGTGACGAAACAGAGCAGAAGAAGGACATCTCTCAAGATATAGCCATTCACACTGAAGCTGAAATTCTTTATCTGCCTGTCACTGCTAATATCCTTTGGATCGCTCTGTAAATATAAGCTATTCAAGTCAGGAACTGTTTATGTTAAAGTGAAACAAATGAAAGACAAAAGCAAGCTTTTTCAGCAGTTTTTCAGCATTAATGAAAGAACAGAATAATCCTTTAGTATTTCAAATTCATTAGCAGTTTTTGTTGTCAGTAAGTAAGAAAGAATTTTAGAACAGGATAAAAATTCTACTCATTTATAAAAGGAAAGAGAACAGCTGGCCAGATTTTCTCATCGCCGGAAATTTGTTACTTAGTTTCATAGAAAGTGCCACAGATCAAAGTTTTGTGGAGAAGACTTGATAGCGACAGATTTCCTTACATACTTTCACCCATCCTACCTGAGAGATTCAGAAAGGGAGGTTCTCACAGCCGGCAGGCAGACCACACGGATGAGCCTCCAGCACTCTGATCGCTTCTTACTTATAAACAGGTGAAGGTCACAGCATCAGATTGTATTTCTTGGATGGGCTAACATAGAAGAAGACGCCTTTAACTCTTTGTTTGTGTATTGCAGGCCACACCAGGAGGACCCGTTCTTCTGTCCTCTACTACTGTTCAAGTAATTCTGCGGCTGATTTAAGTCTGGATTGAGTTCGGAACATATTATACTGTTCAACAAATAACTCTGGTGGCTTTGGTTTTCCCATTTATCTCAGTTTATTCAATGGTCAGTAAAGTCAGATTTAGCTCTTTTCAGTTCATCATCATTTATCTAATACATGCAGATAACCTGAAAAGAGCACTGAGACCAGCTTTGAAATGAAAAGTAAAAATAAAACATCTCTAAAATGGAAATTCTTAAGCACAGAGGTTTAGTCGACAATGATTAAAACTTCAAGGTCAAAGGTTATTATTATTATTTTTATAAACATATTAGCCAGGGATGCCAAAATTACTATTACTGTATATCATCAGTGTTACAGACAGAGATAAATACAAAACATTTATATTTAGATTTAGCTTCAACATTATTTTACCCAAGACCTGCTGAGGTATTGTAGTCATTTAGAACCAGTTAATTTACAATTCAATTCAGTTGGTTTATATAGCACCGATTTACAACGCCTCATGTCGTTGAAATTTGCAGAGACACATTTCTAACATGTTTTCCAGATGTTTTTAAAACGAATACAGTTAATTTCTGCATTTTTGGGTGAATGTTTCCTCATGTCTTAGCTGTTCATTTCAGGTTTTTTTTAAACACACCCAAATCATAACTGGAAGATTTGATTTAAGGACCTTAGAGATTTAAAGTAAGAGCAGATCAGAGTCGGCTGCAGAAAAATTACAGTTTTAAAATACTCACTGGTAGGATTTGTGGCTTATATGTGGTACACAGTAAATAATCCTGCTGCTTTGGATGTTAAATCCACGTTAAGACATGTTGCAGAGGGCAAAAATATGAAGTTTCTAGAACTGTAATCAGTAAATGTCCTAAATCCTTTCAGCTATCTTTGCCAACACTAAAATCTATTTTGAAATATAATCTATAGAACTCAGTAGGTGCCCCAATAAGAATCATCCTTTCATGTTTTCTTCCAAATATGGAAAGAAAAATGGTCAAACTGTGGAGCTGAACAGGCTGTAGTTTGGTTCTTAATGCCTTATTTTATTTTTTCATCCATAAGTTCAAACAATCCTGTTGAGCAAGAGGGTAGAATCAAATTTAGGAACCCTATATTAAATCTTTATCACTTCAGAAAGCCAAATGGGAAGCTTTCACAAACATTTATTTATAAGTTTGTCACCTGAGAACCAGTAATAACAGGTGATTTTTTCCGTATCTGTTGCCTTTAGACCAATGTTAAGAAGGAAACTGAAATGAAATAAAGAAATATAGCAAATGCTGTGATCATTATTTACTTTGCACACCTGCTTCAGTTTGTTTATAGCTGCAGCGGTTAGGATTGGGCCTTTTCCCAGAGGGAGATGAAGGATACATCTTCGACTGGTTGGCTGGTGCATCACAGAGATGACTCCACAGAAAATAGCAGCATTGCAGAGTCACTGTTAAGGTCATGCCAAAATGAGACACCCACCCCCTCCAGTATTTGAACCGGTGGCATAGGGACCCACCCAGCTGAGTGCCTGGATATAAAACAGTTTGATGTCAATCATTCTGCTGTGAAAAACATGCTTTACTGGAGGAAAACGTTATAACTGTCTTTCCAGAATTAAAGGTCCAAATAGGTTCATGGGGTCAGATTGAGAAAACTAAATAGGTAATCATGCTACTCTAACATGCGTCTTCAGCCCCACCTTCTTTTTTAAACATATTTTTCAAAAAATTGAGAAATTGACACGAGCTGTTACAAGGAAAACTATAATTGAGCTTATGGCATCACTATGAAGGTACACTCTAAGAATGGATTTGTTGGAAAGACAACAAATCTAGTTGCAGACGGGTAGCCAGAAATTTTCTATAAGGGCAATAACTAATATACACTGAGGGGTCGCCGAAAGCGGATAGGCACCAGAACCTCACGGTCAATCTACACTGTTCCAACAGGAAAATTAACGAGCAAAACATCCATATTTTTTTAAAATAAAGACTAACTACATGTCCTACAGCCTTTGCTAACAAATAAACGCATATATTTAAACATCCTTAATTTCTAGATAAAAGGTATAGTGGATAAAAATCAGTTTTTTAGTTCTGGGGCATAAATCAATCATCATTGTCATTACTTATTTGTATCAATAAACATTATGCATAAAATTGATATTTACAAGCACTAATATCTACATAAATTGATTATTTGATTTTTTTTTTATTTAGATTGTTATTTTTGATTTCACTGAAGACTCTTAAATGACTTGCAGAGACACATAATTTTCTCTTTACCCCATATAACACAAAATCTAGCTCTGAAAAGAGCATGAATTCTGTATTTATCATCTTTGATGTTAGTATATTGATGTGTTTAATTAACCACAAAAATAAAATGTTTTTAATATTCCACTTGAGAGTATTACTGTTGCCACCACCTGTATTAGAGGGAGAAAAATGGTAGGGGTGGCCAGTGATTGCCTAAGGGTGGCCATGACCACCACTGGCCCCCCCTTCTAGTTAGTGAAACCAGTGCTGATTAGATTAACCAATATATTAGTCAGAAATTGACCAAGCTATTGGTTTCTGATCAACCAATTTAATTGATTTACCAGACAACAAATAAAAATAAGAACTGATTGTTTTCTAATCTGACTTTTTGGCTGTAGTCAAGTGTAGTGTGTAATAGTTATGGACTCATGGAGAACAATTAACGACATGTGTACATGTACAGCATGCAAATGTTGGCTTTAACCTTGGTTGTAACATTAGTATTATGCATTAGTGGGGACTGTGGCATTGGATGTACGAGATTGAAACCAAGCTCTGGTCCTGGTTTTTAAAGTAGTTACACTAATTAACCTTTTTTTTTTCTAAAAGTAGAATTGGAGGCAGATCTTTTAGTTATCAGGCTCCTCTCTTGTGGAACCAACTACCAGTTTTAGTCCATGAGGCAGACACCCTGTCTACTTTTAAGGGTAGGCTTAAAACTTTCCTTTTTGATAAAGTTTATAGTTAGAGTGGCTCAGATTATCTAGAGCTTTCGCTATAGTTAGGCTGCTATAGGTTTAGACTGCTGGAGGACATAGGGACCACTATTTCATCATTTTGCTTCATTCTATCTCTATTCTTCCACTCTGCAGAATCTGTTAGTTTAATCTCTAACGTTCTGCTTTCTCTGCCTTTTATCATAGTAGCTTTCCCTCATCTGGTCCTGTTTGGCTGTGACTCCATCCTGGAGAGAAACCATCAACACCTTTGTTTATAGATGTTGGAGATCTGCCTGTTTTTCCAGTGTAGTCTTGTTTCTCTGATCGTGACTCGCTGAATGTGCTCTCTTCATCCTCTGACATGGTAGCTGGCTCGGAGCTCGTCTGCCTGGCTGGGTTTCCTGGACGGGGCCGCCTTTTACAGCTGCTTTTTGTATCTTTGCTTCTGTCTCCTTTAACCCCAGTCGGCCTCGGCAGATGGCCGCTCACACTCAGCCTGGTTCTGCTTAGGCTTGTCCCGATCCGATCCACGTATCGGATCGGGACGCCGATATTGGCAAAAAAAAATGCGTATCGGCAAAGCATGTAAAATGCCGATCCAGACTGCCGATCCAGTTTTTAAAAAAAAATCCGGTCCGTATTTTCCAGTTTCGCCGATTGAAACGATCCATTCCACTATTTTGCGCCAGTGTTTCCCTGTTTTGCATTTTTATTAAAACTTACAGTAATACTTGCACCTTTAACTGTTTACGGTTTTACTGTTCACTGTGCAATTTCAGATTGCTATTCATAATTTTGTCCAGTTTGTGTTTATCTCTTAATAAACAGGTATGTTTGTTGTTACCAAGCATTGTGTTTTATTCAATCTCACCTAATTTAGCTGGCTAGATGTTATCAAGAGTACTAAAACCCTTTTCAACATGAGTCTTACAACTAAGGCTAAATACTTTAACTTAAACTTAAATACATGCTCGGATAGGCTGGTATCGGCCAGTATCGGTTTCGGATCGGAAGTCCAAAAACAATATCGGTATCGGATCGGAAGTGCAAAAACCTGGATCGGGACATCTCTAGTTCTGCTGGAGGTTTCTTCCTGTTAAAAGGGAGTTTTTCCTCTCCACTGTCGCTACAAGCATGCTTAGTGTGAGGGACTGCATCCCAGTCAATGAGTCGATGCAATCAACTGGTTTTCCTTAGATAGAAAACTTTGAATCAATTTGACTGTATGATCTGGATTTAATTGTAAAGTGCCTTGAGATGACATGTGTTGTGAATTTGTGCTATATAAATAAACTGAACTGAATTTAATATTTCGGTCAAAGTGAATAACTTGTTTTGGTTTCCCTTCTACCAATGTAGATCAGTTAAAACATTACCAAATTAGATAGGTTGTTTTAACAAAAAAAACATTTTTGGGGTTGTACTGTCCAATCAGTTTTTATGGTGTATATTTTGGGGATTTTGTTTCTCTAAATCTTAGTTTTCATAAAAATCACTTCAAATCATGCGATGTATGCTATTAAAGTTGGTTTACAATTAAAGTTGTCTGATCATTATCCTAATTATGTTGCACCGAATAGAATGAAGAATTTCTCTTAATAACATTTTTGGTGGGACTGTAGGAACCTGGGGTTAAAGGCGACCATGGTTGGGATGAATTTTTTGTGTCTTATTTTCTTAGAGGTGTCCGTAATGTATCTCCAGTTTTAGGATCTAACGGCGGACAGTTCAGGCGGGCAAAATTTTCCGTTCAGTCTCTTCGGTCGGTCACGCGCCATCACGTGTCACTAAGTCGTTACGGAGCTCGGTGTGAGCACGAGCCGCGGCGGTTAAACCGTTCCCAGTGGCAGGTCGGACTGCAGCTCTCGTTCCTCTCTCATCCTTTAAAGCAGAGGATGCTGCGGGTACAGCACCGACCGTGAGCGGGTCACAGCGGCGGGCAGGAGGAGGAAGAGACGCGCGAAGGACACCAGCAGCACCGGAGACAGATGGGGATTGATTTGCCGCAGGCCCCTGCCGTCGTGAAATCGGACACCGACCTGCGGCGGATGGGGTGACCGAGCTCGCTGCTTCTCCGCCGGGGAGGCCCCATGACTGCGGACGTTACCTGCCTGGGAGCTGCTGCCAGCGGCCGGTTGTAAGGTGGAGGACGGAGACAGGGAAAGGTGAGGAAAATGCAGACGGAGGAGGAGACGGCCGCCGCAGAAGAGCCCATTTTGGAGGAAGGGTCAGGACGAGAGCAGGTGAGGAAGGACATCCGCTGTTTTTTCGCTTTTATTCTCGAGTTACGTTTGTTTACACAGTAGGGCGATTATTTCCCCTCCTCCTCCTCCTATAAAAACATTGTGTCATTCGCGGTGGTTCCCTCATTTCTACACCCTCCTCATTCTGTATTATAAGCATATTCTCTCTGACTAAACATGTATTTTTGCTGCTCTCTTTTCATCCTTTCTTTGCGATGTAAACAAACAAGGACACAGGAGGACCTTGACTTTAACATAGAGGAATGAAAACTGAATTATATAGATTAGATCATTAAAATCACGTACAGTGTAACATAAATTGCATTCTTTATGCTTTAAACATATAATAAATGAGGTGTCAGCTCCAAACTACACGAGGATTACATCACAGTGAAGCCACACACCCACATCATATCAGTAAATTACACAATCAGACGTAATGTGAGCGTAATCACACGACACCTTGCAATGCATTTCAGGACAGAGCCCCACCACTGAGTGTTGTTTTGTGTTAAACACCACCTCACACTTCCAACTGCTAAATGTATTTGCACCCTTGTTTCTTTTCTTCTTTTTTCTTCACATTTAGGTGTTTGAAATCATAAAAGTTAAAAAAAGAAACATGAGTATATGCAAAAAAAAAATCTGTTTTTAAATGGTAATTAAGGGGGGGAATGGGACTACAAACAGGGGTGGAGCTATATTGGGGGCCAGAGGTGGCCATGGCCTTCCTTAGCCAATCGTTGGCCACCCCTACCATTTTTTTCGCCCTCAAATACAGATGGTGGGAGCAGTAATACTCCCAAGGGGAATGTTCAAACTTATTAAACATTTAAATTTTTCATATATTAACAATTACTTGACAGTGCCATGGTTAATTATGCACATCATAATACTAACATTAAAGTTGATTAATACGGAATTTATGCTCATTGCAGAACTAGATTTTGTATTAATATGTAGTAAAGAGAAAATTCTGTGTCTCTGCAAGTCATCACTGTCTTCAATAAAATCATAGATAAATAACTACTTAAATAATAACTTAAAAATCCTTTTAATCTAGATATTAGTACATGTAAATATTAATTTTATGGACAACAATTTTTGATAAAAGTAGGTAAGTAATGACAATGGACAAGATGTTCACCCTCGAAATTTTGTCCACTTTATTTAGACAGCATGGATGTTTAAATACCATTGTCCATTTGTTAGCAAAGGCTGTAGGACAGCATAGTTTGTCTTTATTTAGAAAATATGGATGTTGTGTTCCTTCCTGTTGGAACAGTGAAGACTGACCCTGAGATTCTGGCGCCTATCTGCTTTCGCCCCAGTCGGCCTCGGCAGATGGCCGCTCACACTGAGCCTGGTTCTACTGGAGGTTCCTTCTTCTCATGCTTGTCGCTACAAGCATTCTTAGTATGAGGGATTACTTTTCGAGTCAATGATTCAATGCAATCAACTGGTTTTCCTTTGATAGAAAACTTTGAATCACTCTGACTGTATGATGTGGTGAATTATAAAGTGCCTTGAGATGACATGTGTTGTGAATTGGCACCATAGAAATAAACTGAACAGAATTGAATTGTGGTCTGACCCTGAGGATCTGGCGCCTATCTGCATTGGGCCACCCCTCAGTGTACATTGGTTTTTGCCTGGCCACCCCATTTAAAATTTTCTACAAATATCAGTACAAAGTGTATCTATGGTTTTATAATCACAACACCCCTCAGAAACAGCTATTTAGTGAACTTAAAATCATATTTTTAATACTTAAAATCCTTTACAAGTCTGCAACATTTGATAACAGCTGTTGTTTGATGCAGAGGAAAAGGTTTTGCAAAGGTGGTTGTTGATAAATTACAAACGTTTTCCCTGCTAAAACCTCAGATGCTCACTAGAAGCAGCCTTTTCAACACATCCATTTAAAAAAAAAAAAAAAAGATTTGTTTATTTTCTGGTTTTATTGATATTGCAGCATTTGTCAATATTGCTGTGTGTCACATATGTGGCATCCCTAAACTAGTAGTCCAAACTAACCTGACTGTATGTGAAAATTAAATCTTCACCTATGATCTGGTTGTGCTACCCTTGTTTGCACAAGTGGCTAGTGAGTCTTCGAGGGGGACGAATTTGACCAACACTCAGAATTATTTTAATTGAGGATCTTGTCACACGTGAAGCAATCACCCTACCGTCACCATGTTAGTCAGCATGTAAAGGGGATAAATCCTCTCAGAAATTTGGCTTTCGTCTTATCAGTCAAAAGATTGTTTTCCACAAAGTATCTGGGATCCAGTTGAATTTTTCAGTTTAGCAATGTAACACCAACTCATAAAACAGTCATACTGGTTCAAGTTTCTAATCAGGAGAAGCGGTTGATTGCAAGATATTTGTGTGCATCAAGTCAATCCCTCACATTGAGCATGCATGTAGCGAAAGTGGAGAGGAAAACTCCCTTATAAAAGGAAAAAACCTCCAGCAGAACCAAGCTCAGTGTTAGCGGCCTACAGCAGAGGCTGACTGGGGTGGAGGGGGACAGAAGCAGACATACAGAAAGAAGTAGAGATACAAAAGGCAACTGTCAACCCACTCCACAGGCGGCCCCGTCCAGTGAAAAACACAGCCAGGCAGACGAGCTCCGAGCCAGCTCTCATGTAAGAGGATGAAAGAGAGCACAAAGTTAGTCACAGTCAGAGAAACAGGACTACACTGAAAAATCTCCAGCATCTATAAACAAAGGTGTTGATGGCAGCAGCACAGGTGATATTTCTCTCCAGGATGGAGTCACAGCCAAACACAAATATAGGAGGTGAAGCTACTGTCTTCTTAGAGATTGAACTAACAGATTCTGCAGACTGGGAGAATAGAGATAGAATGAAGCAGAATGATGAAAAGCGGCCCCTATGTCCTCCTGCAGTCTAAACCTATGGCAGCATAACTATAGAGATAGCTCAGGATAACCTGAGCCACTCTAACTATAAGATTTATCAAAAAAGAAAATTTTAAGCCTAGTCTTAAAAGTAGACAGGGTGTCTGCCTCATGGACTAAAACTGGTAGTTGGTTCCACAGGAGAGGAGCCTGATAACTAAAAGATCTGCCTCCCATTCTACTTTTAAAAATTCTAGGAACCACTAGTAAACCTGCAGATTGAGAGTGAAGTGCTCTGTTAGGAACATAAGGAACAATCAGACCTCTGATATAACATGGAGCTTGGCCATTTAAGGCTTTATATGTGAGAAGGAGGATTTTAAATCCTATTCTGGATTTAACAGGAAACCAATGAAGGGAAGCGAGGATAGGTGAAATGGTGGCTGCAGCATTTTGGATCAGCTGAAGGCTTTTAACTACAGCTTGTGGACTTCCTGATAGTAAAGAATTACAATAGTCCAGCCTTGAAGTAACAAATGCATGGACTAGTTTCTCAGCATCATCCTTGGTCAGGATATTTCTAATTTTTGCAATATTCTAATTTTAGTTTCCTACAAAATATTCCTTTCACAACATTACTTTGTTAACGAGTTGCCTTGCAGCAAGAAGGTTCTGGGCTCGATTCCTGGCCTGAGGTCTTTCTGCATGGAGTTAGCATGTTCTCTCTTTGTGTGTCACTGTGTTGCCCTGCGACAGACTGGCGACCTGTCCAGGGTGTACCCCATAGAGAGCTGTTTCAGTGCTATAGTGAGCTCTAAAGCCAGACGGAAACTCTTTGAAAGGTTCATTATCATGTAAATTGTGAAACACTTGTTTAGCAACTATTTGCTCAAGAATTTTACATAAGAAAAGAAGACTAGATATAGGTCTATAATTGACCAAGTCATCAGGGCCAAGAGATGGTTTAAGTAAAGGTTTAATTACAGCAACCTTAAAAGACTGAGATGCATATTCTGGGATAGATTAGTCACATCTAAAATGGAGGACAAGATCAAAGGAAATACTTTGAACCTTAAATAACCTGGATGGAAATGGATCTACCGGTAACATAAATTGAAGGCTAAGATGTAGACAATAGTTTTGCTAACTCTGAAAGCTCAACTGGATGAGAACAGTCTCAACCCTGTTTCGATTCTAGGGCTACCTCAGATGCTGCCTCACCTCCCAGAGATAAACCAATCACAGGTAGAGGAGTGCTGATGATGTTATTTTTAGTAGAATCAATCTTATTTTTAAAGAATCACATAAAATCATTGCTGCTAAAAGCAGGTGGGATGGGCGGTTCAACAGAGCTATGGCTCTGGGTGAGTTTGGAAACTGGATGAAAAAGATATCTACGATTATTCTTATTCTCCTCTAATATGCTGCTCTTGCTTTACGAAGGGTCATTTTATGCAGCAGTAAACTGCTTTTCCAGACTAGGTAGGACTCCTGTAGCATTCTCTCCAATTTCCTAGCATTTTGCTTCAAAGTGCACAGCTCTGCGTTAAAAAGAGGAGCCAGTTTCTATTTTTAAAGTTTTTCTTGCTCAACAAAAAGTAAAACAAACAAAAAAGTATATTGATACTCTTGACCAGGATGTAAGAGAATGATACATCCAGAAGATCGCTACTGTTGGGATCAACACTTATATAGCATATAAGCAGAACACTTCGGCAGGCAAACTCCCTCTGTTATCCTTCTATAAATCACTAAATGACTTAGTGAAGAGCCCTTACACAATGGAGGAGCTTCACAGAGTCAATGGACTCAAATAATCAGTGTCTTAACATCTTTGTAAAAGGATGGCAAAACTGTTCAATTCAATAATTCAAACAATTAAATTAAATAACATCGATGTACATGTCTGTCATAGCTTTAGCAAAAGGGTTGATGTTTTTACTGGAATATAAGAGATTGGAGAAGATGAGTTGCTATTTTCAATGGTTTATAGCAGTAGATGTTTCTAAGCCAGGCTTAGTTTGTGGTTCTTCCTTTTCTATGATTTTGCGGATGTTATATAAACCGCAAAACCGTCTGCATGCTTGGAAAAATTTTTCACCCAAAAAGAAATAACCATTGCAAGCTTCTT